GTATTTTCCCATTTTTTCTAAATGTCCGCAAGTTTTTGTCCGCAAAAAAATTTTCTGTTAAAATTAATGTAGATTAGGTCGATTCACACGTTCTTCCAATTTTTTTTATAATGTTTGGAGTCGTGAAAGTGCTGAGCAGGCCAATTCTCATATTTTTTTTCGAATTTTCTGCTAAAAAAAGTCCGCAAGTTTTGTCCGCAAAAAAATTTTTAGTCCGCAAAAAATTTTTTTATCCGCAAAATTTAAAAATACCTTACCCTCTTTAATTCTATTAAATTTAGAATTTTTTTCTGGTCACTTCTTTGAAAAATATCCTTTTTTTATTTCCCTTTTCTATTTATATGTAATTTAATTCCTTCCATTTTTCACTGTAAAATTGCGCCTATTTTTTCTTGGATTTTAAATACTTTCATTTTTCATAATATATAAAAATTTGTTGACAGATTTTTTTGTTTTATTTTTAAAAATAATTGGAATTAATCCAAAAATTTTTTTTTAATTTTTTCAAGTCAAAAGTCCGCAAGTTTTGTCCGCAAAAAAAATTTTTTTCAAAGGATGTATTTTAAACCTTTTTGTTTCTTCTCTTTTTCATTGTTGAATAGTTTTTTGCTTTGTTATTCCACAAAAATCCCAACTAGCGTTATTGAACTAAATGACAGATTTTTGGATGTTATGGACAAAGGATTGTGGTTTGTGGAGGTTTTTTTTAATTTTTATTTTTTGGTGTATCGGGATAGTTTTGGGTTTCCTCTGTACTTGGGGGGAGGTTCGTTTCCCACACTTGGAAATAATTTTATTTTTGCTAGTTTATTGTCGGTAAATATTTTTTGACACGTTAACTAATTTTTGTAAACATTTTTCATTTGCTTGGTGTAGTGGGATAGTTTTAGGTTTCTTTATATTTGGGGTGAAGGTTCGAATCCCTTGGTGGGAAATAATTTTATTTCAACTAGTTTCACATTAAAATTACCTAGAAAAATATATTTTGTCCTTCCAAATAATTTTTAAAAATTTTCAATATAATTTTTCAACCTCTAAATTAGTTTTATGCTCCATGGTGTGCTCATTGTAAACAGTTAATGCCCGTTTGGGAACTTGTAGGGCACGCTTTAGCAGATAAACAATCTCCTGTGCGTGTTGGAAAAGTGGATTGTACAAGGTTTAATAATGTTGCCTCAACTCTTTCAATTCGTGGTTATCCTACAATTATTTTGTTTGTTTTTTTAATTAAAAATATTTTTTCCTTGCACTATTTCTGCTTCTAGTCGGTTATTCACTCTTAATTAGGGTTGTACTCCGTCCCAGAAAGTGTACCTCTTCCCTAAAATTTTAAATTCAACCCTCCCCCCTCGTGGCGCTGCCTCCCCGAAAGCATTTCCAATGGCCAACCTTCTCTTAACATTTCTTAATTGCAGAAATGTTGACTCAATACCGTCCAAACATTATTGAGACCTAGACCCATAATCTTAAATAAGATTGGGGACCCGATCCGGCCCGGTCCGAAAGATCAAGTCGGGCATTGAATTTTGGCTCGGAAAAGACTCGGTCGGGCCAGCCTGATAAAATGACTCGAATGTCGGCCCGACTCGAAAACCCTAAACCTAATCTTAAGGCCCTAGAAAAGCCTATACCCTTCAGTCGTCAAATGCTCATCTGGGTCAAATAGATTTTTTTTTTAAATTTTTGCTTGGATTCTCTAATTTTTAGGGGAACCTTTCCTTTTCGAAATATTTTTAATTTTATTTTTACTTAAAATTTTAAGTTTTCGCAACGGCATTCAAATCCCTTATGAAGGCGAACGTCGAAAAGAAGACATTATTAAATTCGCCGAAAAATGTTCTGGGCCAGTAGTTGATAAAATCGAAACAAAAGCAGAATTTGAAGAGGTTTGTAGTTTAAAAAATTTTTAAAAATTAAAAAAAAAATTTTTTTCAAGTTGCTTAAATCAGCGGATAAAGAGCCTTTTTTCGTCTTTCTCGATGATTCAACAAAACAAAAAACTTCTCTTCAAATGAAAATGTGGTTGGAATATGAAAACGTTGCGGACATGTTATTTACTGAAACGAGATTTTTTAAGGCGAATGAGAGAGAAATTATTTCTGAAGAAATTATTGGGGACAAGGAGGAAGTGGTTTTGATTGGGTTTAAAGAGAGTGATTATTGGGTTAATTTTGGATTGAAGGAGTTTGAAAAAGGTTTTTTAATATTTATTTTTAATTCTATAAGGTTTCAAGTTAATTAAAAAAATTTGACCCCAAACGGATTCGAACTCACGACCCCAAAAATAGAGGAACTTTACCACTTAACCACCAGTGATGTAATTAACTTTTTGATAGAAAATTTTTTTCTAGCCCATTTTAGCACAAAACAAGAGGAGGGTATCCAAAAAGAAAAATTTTCTTTTTCAAAAATTCTTCGAATTTTCCTCCCTTTCACTTATTTTTCCCTTTTTTTAAGCTTTTCATGCAAAAAATATAAAATTTTTAATTAAAAAATTTTTAAAGGTAAATCAATTTCTGAATGGATAAGACGTGAAAGATGGCCACCAATGTTACAATTATCTGCTTTAAATTTACATTCAGTAGCTGATTCAAACAACGAAAAGAAATTAGTCTTGATATCAATTGAACCTTTTGACCGGCTAAATTTGAGTACTCCTTCTGGAAGGTTTTTTAGAGTTTTTTTTTAATTTAAGTTAAATTAATGTAAATTTGTTATTAAAAAATTTGTTCAGGATATCAGAAAAGTGAAAAATTTAACTTAAAAAATTATTTGACCCCAAACGGTTTCGAACCCAAGACTCCCCAAAGTGAAAGTTGAAAACTTTACCACTTAACCACAAGTTGTGATTAATTCTTTGGGGGCAGTTCACGTAATAAATTTTTTCAGTTTTTATGACTTGGCAAAGAAAGCAGCCAACAATTTGAGAACAAATCCAGAATTAAATTCGCATTTCCAATTTGGGTGGTTGGAAGGAGGACAAATTGCTAATGGAATTGTGATGGGGTCTTTAACTATTCCAAGTATTTCTTTGATTTTTTTAATTTTTGGATCGACATTATGTCCCAGAAAATTTTTTAAGGAAACTAGAGGACATTTTTCTCAATAAAAAAATTATTTGGCCCAAACCGGATTCGAACCCGCGTCCCCAAAAACATAGGTAACCCACTTAACCACCAGTGTTTTTTTCATAACGTTTAAAAATCGTCCAAAATTCTAAATTCTTTATTTTATATTTTCTTTTATTCTTTAAAGGTTTGGTTGTTTTCAATTTCTCCAGCTACGAATTCTTTCTTAGCGATGATTCTAATGAACAAATGACTGTCCACTCTTTACTTTTATTTTTACAAAGAATTAAAGATGGTCAAGTAAAAGCACAAGGAGGGCGAGCTTGGATAACTCGAATTAAACGAATGTTTTACGACGTTACTACGTTTGTTTTTTTTTATTTGAGATTGTTAGAAATTAAAAAAGTAAATAAAAAATTGTTTGACCCTGAGAGGGTTCGAACCCATGACCCCCTGAAAAAGTTAAAAATACCACTTAACCAAGATTTTTGTGTCTAAAAGGTGTTGTAAATAATTTTTATAACTCAAAAATTAAAAGTAAAGGATAAAGAAAATTGTTGGCCCTATAAGGATTCGAACCCATCCCCCCTAAAAATAAAGTCAAAAATGTTACCACTTAACCACCGAGTGATTTTTTCGTTTTTTAATTTCAAAGAAAAATTTTTTTGAAGTAATCTACTCGATATGTTCAAACATCAACCAATTTTGACTGTTTGTCTATTTGGCGTTCCTTTAGCATTTTTCTCAATTATAACTTATTCAATTTGTTCTGCCGATTTTTCTGTTGATAGAGATGAAGTATATCCAGAAGATGAAGAATTGGATGAAGAAGAGGAAGAAGATGAAATGAATGTGGAAGGGCCTAGTTCTAGTACAAATACCTCTGCAATTGAAGGTCTTTTGTTGAAAATTTAATTGATAGACCCGGAGAGGGTTCGAACCTGTGACCCTGAAGGGAAAAAGTTAAAAATTATACCCTTAACCAGGATTGGACGAAATGGGTGGTAAGGCCTTTACATGGTGGATTTCGTAAATCCGCAATATTTTGACCGGAGAGGGTTCGAACCTACGACCCTTAAAAATAAATGTCTAAAATTATACCACTTAACCACGGACTGTGGGTGGACATAATAGGAGGGCTAGGACCTTTTCAATGGTAATTGAGTAAATCCGCAATATTTTTGCAGATTTTTTTTAATTTATTTTTCTTTAAAATTTAGACGACCACATAAAGGCTGAATAGCAACAACAACAAAAAATTAAAACAACATTTTTGCAATTTTTATATCCTTTGCAAATATTTTTTTTCTAGTCAATTTTTTTTATTTAATTGATCTCCAAATTAAATTTACAAAAAAATTTTAATTTTGATTTGGCCAATTATTTTTAAAATCTTTTTTATATTTAGCTAATTTTTGAAACCTTTTTTTTATTTTATTCCTCATTAATATTTTTTGAAAAAAATATTTTTTAAAAAGGAGAATTAATTTCACAATTATTTTACAATTACAGTTGACCTCAGCTTTTAGAGCTGAAAAAATTTTCGTGTGTTAGGGGTATTTTAAATAACGGAGGGATCAATTTGACGGCTTCCCTAAATTAGCCAGTTCCCTCCCATTATTAGGCAGCTAATTTTTATAACTCAGAAATTAAAAGTAAAGGATAAAAAAATTATTTGGCCCTGTCGGGGTTCGGACCCATGCCCCCCAAAAATAAAGTCAAAAATGTTACCACTTAACCACCGAGAGTTTTCACAGACTAATGAATTAATTTTGTGCCGCCAAATTTCAGAATTTTTCAGAAAAGATCAGAATTTTTCAGAACAATCAGAATTAAAAATCAGAATTGTTCTGAAAAATCGGAAATTCTCAGAAAAATCAGTCTAATATTGAGTGGTGAAGTCTTCCTATTAAAAAATAAAATCTTCAAATGATGGATCAACCTCCCCCCACTTCATTATCCAAAAGTTGGTCTTGTGCTGTCGATTCCAACAACATTTCTAATAAAAATAATTTTCATCATCGTCCATCTGCTTTGAGTGCTGTCAGTTCTCGACTTCCCTCCTTCGACGGCTTTCAACTTTCCCCAATTGAAGATTTTAATTTTGACCCAAATGATAGGCAATATTTATTTTGTTGTGGAAAGGGCCATTCTACTGTTGGAGTGAAAGTGATTGCTGGGTATGTTTTTAATTCGGAGTTCATCCTCTACTTTAGGCACCTTTTGGATTCTAAAAATATTTTAAAACTGGGGAAGGGGTCCAATACTCGTTAAGGGAGACCGCAGGACCGGGGAGCTAATCTTACTCTAGTATAGTGATCGAGATTATTGAAAAGCCTAGGCCTGTTTCTGGGTTCCGGGTTTGATTGAGCTGGGCCGGATCCTGGGCCTGTAGTCCAGGAAGGTCAAAAAATGCCTGGACTCTGGGTACAGGAAAACCCCGGGCCGAGCTCGACCACTACTCTTGTATGATCCTTCCCCTAGCTAATACTGGCTCCCATATCCTCTTAAAAGTAGAGGGTGTCCATAAAATAGAGGGGTCTAATTATTTTTTCTTTTCAACAAACACAGAATGTTGTGTCTAAGCGTTCTCTCAGAATTATGGCTAATCACCCAACAAATCCTCACCTTCCACAGCCACCCCAACAATTCCTTGTTTGATTCGTTATTTCAACTTTTATTTGGAGCTGTGTTAGCAACAAGTATGGTATTAGCTATTTGGCTAGAAAACTGTACTCTTTTATTGCCCTATTTGTTAATGCAAAGTGTTGGACTATGCGCTTTGTTTGTCTCTTTTTTAATTTTTAAATGAAGAATATTTTCCAAGCTTAACTATTTTCTTGGCTTTAATTTATATTGTGGTGTTGGACAGGGATTTAGAAACAATTGAATTTTTACTTGATAAGTATTCGCCAATAAGTCTGGATGAGGGAATGAGTGATGGTTATAAAAGTTTGTTTTGACCATTTTTAAATATATAAGGGGGAGTTACCCTTTTTGAAAATATAAGGGGACTGACCATTTTTGAAAAAATATAAGACTGACCATTTTTAAATATATATGAGACGATCTTTTAAAGATGAGGAATGCCTATTTACCTATCTTGATACAGGACAGACCAGTAGTGCTGGGTCAAATCTTGGCTCCTGAGCTAGCTCCCGGAGCCATGCCCAGCACTGTGGCCATTATTAAAAATAAAACGTAACTGAACATTTTTGAAATATCAGGGGATACCCAATTTAAAAAATGTAGGGGACTGACAATTTTCAAAATATGAGGTCCGACCAATTTTAAAAATATAAGGGGACCGATCATTCTCGATCCTGATCAGTATTAAATTTTTTGTTCTGACCATTTTTAAAACTCTCCCTTAAGTTTGCTTAGGTCTGTTCCTCTGTATGGCATGTTTTTCACTTTTACTGCTCCAATTCTGGTTTTTGTCTATAGTAATTGCTTGTTGGCGATATTTCCGAGACAAACAAACATCGTTATTTCAAAACACCAACAGGGTTAATACTTGTATTATTCTTAACCCAATTAATCAAATTGAGGTTTTTCAAACTTTAAAAATGATCAGATTCCATTTTTAGGATGAGAAAGTGGTTGTAGATATTTTTGAATGAGGAAAGAAATGATTATTCGATGTTTTGAAACTTTTTAGTCTTCTGACCCTTTTGACACATTTATTGTAGATATGACACTTTTGAAACTTATTGTTGGGGGATGTGACTATTTGTAGACGTAATGGAGTCTGGACATTCTGAGAAATTAGGGGTATTTTTTAGTGCCCGGCGCCGGACCAGATCCGGTTGGATTTTTCGGAGCCAGAGTCCCAAATACGGGGGTTTTTTACGATTTCCTGACCGGATTAATCAGGCCGGATCCGGTCCGGTTCAAGATGCAAATCCGGGTCCAGAAAAATCGATTTTGCCGAGGACTAGTATTTTTAAGGCTTTTTGCGGGTAAAATTTCGAGTTTTGTTGGAGTCTGACTATTTGAATTTCCAGGTTACTGACTATTTTTGTTTATAAAATTTAGGCTATTTTAAAAAAAAAATTAACAAAGTTAAAAAAATCTACTCTGCTGAAGCCACTTGTTTTAATTGTTCCTTCCCTCCATCTATTCTCTCCTTTGTATCATCTGCACAAATTAGCGTTTGCTTGGGTTTGATTAAATCAAACTTTAAAAAATAAAATTAAAAAAAATTTTTTTTAATTAAAAAAACCTCAACAGGCAATAATTGTGAAGGCATTGCACGCCTTATTCTTGCATATATCTTGTCTGTTCTTTTACCCACAATAAATCTTTGTAATCCATCAGCTGCCGTACAGACGTGACAATTAACACAACGATGACCTCTTTCTAACTAAAAAAAATTTTTTTTTAATTTTTTTGAAATAATTATTATTTAAAGGTTATTCTATCCGTTGGAATTAAAAAAAAATTTTTTTTTAATTTTTCGTAACTCCTACAAAAAGCTACAGCCGAATAAAAAACAAAAATCACGATTGCCCGTACTTATTTGATCATAACTTTGTGGAGACTGATCTGATCAAATTAATCCTGTTAGATAATTAATCGCCACATCCATAGCTTTCGATTGATATATTAAATATTTAATTCGGCTAAAAATCAAAAAAGTTATGACCAAAAATATGGCCCTAGACTGAAATGACAATTCTTAAAAGTCCTTTACTGGAAGAGTTTAGGCTTAAAATCGTTCTTAAAATATCCTAAAAAATTTATTTTAACCTTCCTTTTAATTTTTATATTTTTATTAGTCAAAATACTCGACTTAAAAAATATTTACCCTCGATGGGATTCGAACCTTACACCCTCTACCCTTCAAAACCCAACACTTTCCCACTACACCAAAAAAAATTTGGAAATTAAAATTTTTGCCTATAACTAGTCCTAAAAAAATCAGAATTTTTTTGAAAATCAGAATTATTAAACCTGAGTGGGATTCGAACCTTACACCCTTTACTCTTCAAAACCCAACACTTTCCCACTACACCAAAAATTTAAATTTAAAAAACCTTTAAAATTCTTGGGTGTTTTTCCTCTTTTTCCTTTGACCGTTCACCTTTAGCCATAATAAGATAACTAAAATCCCCAACATTTGTTCCATCTTTATTTAAACTTGTTGTTTTGTGATCTGCACGAAATTCTTGCCATCTTACAGAAAATTTACAAGATTCTTTTTTGGGTATTTTTGGACATCGTTTATCATGAGGACATGGGGCGAAGACGTGACCGGGGTCGATTAGAGTTGGAATTTTGACGTCTTCAGGTAACTGAAAGGTTATAATTAAAATCAGAATTTCTGAAAAATATCAGAAATAAAAATCAGAATTTCTGAGAAAAAAAATCAGAATTATTCTGAGAAAATTATCAGAAATAAAATCAGAATTTTTCGAAATCAGAATTCAAAAAATTCAGAAAAACCAGAATTAAAATCAGAATTTCTGTCAAAAAAGATCAGAATTACTGAGAGAAAATCAGAAAGAGCCAGAATTTTAAAAAATCGGATTTTGGGGGAAAAATCAGAATTCTGAATAAAAATTTCAGAAAAATCAGAATTAAAATCAGAATTTCAGTCACAAAAAATCAGAACCTCTTAAGAAGAATCAGAATCTCTGTCAAAAAAATCAGAATTATTCTGTAAAAAAACAGAAAAAAAAAACTAAAATTCAGGAAAAAATTTTTCAGAAAAATCAGAAACCCCGTTACAAATCAAAATAAATTCTCTTACCAATTCTCTAGCTCTACAATATTTTTCATATGTCTGCAAATTCTTGTCAGACAACATTTCAATGGTATCTTGATCTATAGCCTTATATTCATACAATAATTCTTTTGTTTTTTCCAAGTCAAAATCATAACCAGCAGTTAAAATAAAATCACGGATTTTAATTAAGGCTTTGAAAGCATCTGGCATTGGAGATTCTACTATTACTAGATACCTTTGAAAAAATTTTTTTTGAAATTTTTTTTGAAAATTTTTTAAGGCTCATTAAAGTGCTAATCAATCTGAATCGAATGAGACCAAACTTGACTTGGTAAGACTTCAATGGACAGAGTTATGAGTATTTGGATGAACTCAATCCAATGTTTGCGGACAAAAATTTGCGGATTTTTTTGTCCGTAAAAAGAATTGCAGACTTCTTCCCCTGTCCGCAAGAGAAAGCAGACCAAAATTTGTCCGCAAAAATTTGTGGATTTTTGTGTTGTCCGCAAAGAATTTTCGGACTCCCCTGTCCGCAAAAGAAAAGCAGATAAAAATTTGTCCGCAAAAAATTTGCGGATTTTTTTGTCCGCAAAAAAATTGCGGACACATTTGGGACCTAATTTATTTTCCCTCATTATTTAAATTTTTAATTTAATTTACTTTTTTGTTCGTTTCCAAAGCTTCTCAATTAATTCTTTCCTCGCTTCTTGTGATGGCATTTCAATAAGCGTTCTATGCAAAATAACCAAATCGTAAGTGTGTTTTGGTGAAGGAAAAAGTTCTTTTCGAAAAAATAAATTTTTGGAAATTAATTCTCCATTATTTGAATAATTAGGGCCCTAAAATTGTTAAATTTAAAAAATTTAATTAAAATAATTTCAAACCCTTGATAAATCAATAGAAAAATGCCGCATAGATAAATCATTGTCTATTAATGAATATTCTTGAACAGCATCGCCTGAAATTAAAAATAAAAAAAATCAGAATTAAAAATCAGAACTTTTAAGAAAAAAATCAGAATCATTCAGAAAATCAGAATTTTTCTGGAAAAAACAGAATAAAGAATCAGAACATTCCAAAAAATCAGAAATAAAAAATCAGAATTTCAGATTAAAAAATCAGAACTTTTCAGAAAAAATCAGAATTTAAAAAATATAAAACAAACCCCATCTTTCATATGCTGCCCAAAAAGACGAGCCTATTCCACTTCCAAAATCCAATATTTTTTCAGGAACAAATCCATTTCTATCAAATTCGGCAAGCACCCGCTTCATTTCAGCAAAGTGACCTCCAAACCTATTTTCAATTTTAATTAAATTTTTAAAGTTGTTAAAAATTTTCAGAACAAATTCTGAAAAAAATCAGAAAAAATTTCTGAAAATTCATCCAAATTTGCGGACAATCCGCAAAATTTTTTGTGGATTGTCCATAAATTTTTGCGGACAGTCCGCAAATTTTGAGAAAAATAAATTTCGAAAATTAAAAAAAACCTTGAGAGACAATAAACAGTTGCTTGTCTCAAATCTTTAAATTTTAAAGGTTTCCAGTTGTATCTTCTAACAGCCAATCTTTTCTGAACTAATTTGGCTAATTGGGTTTCGATAAAAGGGCGATTTTGATAAATATTGTAATCGTAACAAAATGCTGGATTTTCTTCGAAAATTTCATCCAAAATTTCACGGCGAGTTTGACGAAATTCTACAATGCTTGGAGGGAAGTGACGTTGATCTAATTGGTTTGATAACTGAAAAAAAATTTACTGATAAAATCTGCGGACTAAATTTGCGGACGTCCGCAAAAATTAAAATTCTTCCAAAAAATTTTTGCGGACAAATCCTGCGGATGTCCGCAAAATCAAAAATATTTCAACAAAAAACTAACCACATCAGCCTCTCTCTGTAATTGTTTTGGAGGAACTCTACTATCCAAAAGTATTCCTCCCAAAGCTTCTACAGCATCCAGGGGCAGTTTAGAAAGTTTGGTAACTCGAGGGTTGACTATAGCTTCTAGAAATAATTTAAATCAAAAAATTTTGGAAAATTAAAAAAAATACTTTTAAAAAATTTTCCAAGATAAATTTAAAAAGTAAACACATTCCCCCATTAAAATAACATTAATTACCCAAGAAGGGTTCGAACCTTCAACCTATTTTTAAAAAAAACTTGTAAGTATCCCAATACACCACAAATGTCCAAAGAATTTAAAAAACTTGTTTACTGCCAAATAAAAATAAATTACCCTCGGCGGACTCGAACCTAATGCCCTCAATAACCCAAAACCTACAACTATCCCACTACACCACAGACAAAAAACTCCCGTAAACTCTCCCCAACATGATGCCACATAAAAAATATATATTAAAAAATTAAAAACAAACTTGGAGGCAACGTTAATTTAGCGATTCCAACAGTTTCTGTACTGTTATTGATTGTTGTCAGGTGTGCACATTTATCAGCAAAAGTTCTATTAAGTAAAGGATCTTGTTGTCTTCGCCTTTTTTTCTTCAAAATTACTAAATTTTCTTCCCTTTCGTCTATTGAGGTTGTTGGAAGGGGAAATAGATTTTTGTTTGGCACAGCTATTTGTTTGATAAGTTGACGAGAAATAAAACGACGAACCATTTTCTTGTAGGGGAATAATTAAAATTTAATAGAGAAAATCTGAAAAGCACAAAAAATTAAAAAAAAATTTTTCTGAAAAAAATATTTCAAAATTTGAAACAAATTTTAATTTAAGACAGCGAAAAAAATTTAAAAAATCTTTTTATTATTATTTTTTTTTTCGATTTTTGGTAATTAAAAGTCAAATAAAATATTTAAATAAACACAATTAATAAAGTCAGACCTCACTATAAAAATGTATCAGATAACGAGGTGAGCCTTAAATTGTGAAATATCAGGTGAAATATCGCTTCCAGCAACCCTGTGGCCTACCAAAATAAAAAAATATGCGGACTGTTTTTTGTCCGCAAAAAAATGCGGACATTTTTCTGTTGTCCGCAAAAAATTGCGGACACAATTCTGTGGGGGTATTTTATAGTGAAGTCCGACTATAAAATCATTTAAAAGAATAAATAAATTAATTAAATTCCTAAATTAAAAACTAATTTTACAAATTTTAATATCCTTCATTGGACCAATCAATTTTATAATTTGGATATTTCTTTTTTAACAATTCCACAGCTTTTGTGTGATCCGCACGTCCAAACCCCTTAAAAAATAATTAAATTTTGAAAAATAATTGAAAGATTTTCGACGATATTTGACAAGGTTAGGGACAGAGTGTCGACTCCTGGGACACGAGTAGGGTTGACGTTTTTAAGTTAGGACAGGCAAAGTTTTAGCTCTGGTCTAATTCAGATGTCCAATGAAAATTTATTAGTCTATTCAAAGTTTATGAGTTCAATAAAAGATTATGTTGGATAGACTGATAGATCTTCAGTGGTCTCTTAGACTAAACCAAAATCAAAAATTTTGTCATTTTTCAGGACAATATGCAAAGAAAAACATCTAAATTCGAAAACAACTTGTAATGGCATTTTGTCCCAACCAACGGTTAGTAAAGGTGTGTGCCCTCATAAGAATTTAGATTTTGCCCAATTTATTTTCATCTCTAATGAGGATTAAAAATAAAACAAAAAAACCTGTGAATATCCATAAACATTAATATGCTTCTTCTCTGAATCGTGTGAAATTCTTCCACCCCCAGGACATTCAAATTTAATACATCCATTAGCACTTTCCTCTTCTTCAACTTTATCAAAAATATTTGCATGGAATTTACAAGATTTGTAGCCACGAACAATTAATTTCTTAGAATCGCCTTCTTTAGCCTAAAAAATAAAAAAATTTGTCCGCAAAAAATGTCCGCAAATGTTAGAAAAATCCGTGATGGTTTATATTTAAAAAAGGGAATAGAGTTGAACATAGAAGGCCCTAAGAAAGTCATTCCCTGGTTCTAATAAGTCAAAAGGTTACAAGGTTTTCAGTTATAGTCTCAGAAAGTTTAACAGTTCCAGACTCATTCATGTCCCTGTCAGTGTTTGGAAGCTTGTACCAAAAATAGAAATAAGGCCTGTAGGAGTACGAGGGAAAAGTAAGGCCTGTAAGAAAGTACGAGTACGAGCAATTTCCAAAATTCCAAACACTTGTTCCTGAAACCAAAAAACACTATCCAAGTTTTGGCAGGAATGCCACCTACAAAATCTCCAAGAAAAAAGTCAGGACGGGCTTAAAGTCAGATTTTAAAAATATTTTCAAGTCTACGTTGTAGTCGAAAAATTCCCAATTTCAAGCCCATTCCTTAGTTCTAACCCCCTCTACTAAAATATAACCCAGTTATTAAAATTCTTACTTGAATCAAAATATATTTGAAAACCCCATGATCGTCAATATCAACATCTGCAAGTTTTGCTAAATTTGCCATTGAATTATTTGCTGTACAAAATCTTTTAATAATTAAACGAAACATTTTTATAAGCTTAAAAAATATAAAATAATTTTTAAAATATTTTTAAAAATTTCAAAAAAAATTTTTTTTTCGAAAAAATATTTTATTGAAAACAAAAGCAATTAAAAAATTCAAAAAAAAACCACAAAATTTTTATTTCTTTCACCAATCCGTAATTGTCAATTCATCAATTCCCCAATCTTCAAAAGAACCATCTGGCAAATAACGACGTATAATTATTGGAATTTTTTGATCCTAAAATAAAAAAAAATTTTTTTGAGAATTTTAAAAAATCTGAACGAAGTGTTAAAATGACCATTTGGGTAAGATGACATTCCGTCCCATTTAGGAACAACTTTCTCTTTAGATCAATGGGGATACCGAAACAGATTTTAAAAATTGAAACGAAAGGCAAAACACCAAAAAAGGTAAAAGCCTAAACAAAAAGGCACACCTCTTCCTGAAGATTCCGGATAAAAAGTCCAACCTCACACAAAAATACAGCTGAGAAATCGTACTTTATAATGAAGTATATTTTATAGTAGAAGGTACCGCTTAGTTAATTCATCAATTCCCCAATCTTTTATTTTTTTATTTTCTATCGAAAAAATATTTCATTGAAAACAAAATAAAAAGTTTAATTTTTTAAAACTGAAGCGAGAAGTGTCCGATTCTACAAAGTATTTCTTAACGAAGAGGTCTGACAAATAAAATTAAATTGAAAAAACCTTGAGTTCTTTCCGCGCAATTTCTAACGGATCTGTCTCTCCCTCAGTTTCAACCATTACAGGCGCTCCCATTGCAATTTGAAGCGCTCTAGTGCCAAGCACTCTAGCTCGCTCATATTTGGTCATAAAAGGCGTAGTAACACGCGAAGTTGAGGCAACCTTCTCGGACGACTAAAAAACAAGTTTATGAGTCTAATGAACATCAGAATCCCGAGTCCTATAACCTCAAGTAAATTTTCAGTTGACTCAAAGCTTCATTGGACTCATAAACTAAACTAGAGCCAAAATAAAAATATTGGCGCAGCTTTGCTAATAAGTCCAATAAAATTGACTTGAGGCAACAAAAGAGACTCTGAGCAGAATACCACAATTCTCATAACATTGAGTCGTTATGGTGTTGGAATACCAAAGTGTTGGAATACCAAAGTGTTGGAATACTAAATTTGAAATCCAATAAAATTGACTTGAGGCGACACAAGAGACCCATCATCAGAATCCCTCAATTCCACTATAGTCTCCCAAGCAACAGCCAGTTTGGTATCTCAACAGCTCTTTGGGGGTTTGGTATTTCAAGCCTTTTGGTAATATAACACCCGCCTTCTTGAGTCAAATTTCTAAGAAGAGACCCCAATCATTCTCCTACCAATACCAACAATTAAACCAAAAAAATTAAATTAAAATACAAACATCAACAACTTGTATTCGCTCCCCGCCTTCACCATCTTCCCCAGCTTGTTCTTGTTGGTCCAAATCCACATCATCTATTTGATCATCATCCATATAATCGTCCCCTTCAACTTCATCAGGATTATAGTCTCCATCATCAGCCATTTTTTAAAATTAAATTTTCAATTTAAAAAATTCTAAAAATTAAATAAAGAAATTAAATTTGAAAAAAAGTAAAATTGTGAATAGACAACAGAAAAATTAAAAAAAATTTTTTCAATTGATTTTAATTTTATTCAAAAACAAGAGAACAATATCTTGACTACTATCAAAAATAAAAATGAAGGCAAATAAAGAATTGTGCGTTAAATGGAGAAAATGTGGATGGATTCTGGTCAAAATTTAAAAATTCTGATTTTAAAAAAATTTTCGAAAATTTAGAAAAATCGAAATTTCGAGAAAATCAGTCTCGAAAAAATAAAGTTTCAGAAAACAAAATTTCGAAAAAACTCAAAACCTTTTTTCATTAAAAAAAGCTCAATTTCTCTCCATTTTACCACAACAATTTCCCCCCTCTTCTTACTACCCCCCAAAAATTCAAAAAAAAAAATTAAAAAATTCAAAACATATTTTTCGTCATTTCAACCAAAGAACGTCTACTATCTCCATCCACCATCGTCCAAAGTCCCATTAATCCAAGTCCAACAGCCGCCCCCAACCCACTCGATTTCAATCCATAGGGGGCTCTATACAAAGCTCCAGCAATTCCAGCGCCAGTAAAAGAATTGAGTAAATCGTCACTGCTTCCAAAAATTTGTGAACGAGCAGTTTTTAATAACAATTCGGATATACAATAAACAAAAACGGCGGTTCCAGCTGTGGAGAAATATAAAAATTTATTATGGCAAAATATGTTTTTTGGGGTTTAATGATTATATTTTTGGGGAGTCTCTGAAGTTGAATCTACTTTGGGGGAATCCCTGGAGTTGGTGAGTTTTTTTTTTGGGGCCCCTGGAGTTGAATCTCTCTCCTTGTTTCAGTAAGTGATCAAGAAAAATATTCGTGTAAACTGGGGACTAAACATACAAAGTAATTTGGGTCCAGTCTAGTTAGGTTCAGTTATAATCTAAAAAACATAAATAAAACTAACCTGCTTGAGCATAACCACTTCCATATTTAGTTGCTGCGTTTAAAAGACGTGTAATTCCTGGTCGGCTACTTGCTACGGACTAGAAAAAATGATTTAAAAAAATTTTTGAGAGAGATTAGAAAATAAAATGATGGGGAAGGAAAGATGGGGGAAGCTTCTTGAGTTCCGAAAAAATTGAAATTTTAATGCGAAGCTCTTAACCAAGGCAGGGTTAGATTACCCGAAACTGGTCCAAAAAAATATTTAAAAACTCGGCCAGTCCATGATTCACAGAAAATATAGTTTGACACCTAACCGGGTACGGAACCGCAAGCTTTCTCACACGGTAGCCCGCAAATCAAATTTAATAATTTTAATAAAATCCAATTTTTCATGGGCTTAACCCGAGAAAACCCGAGCCCAGATCAGTTTGCCGAAAATTAAAAATGCCGAATCCCGAAAAGGTTTAAACAAATTATTCCAAACCTTTGTATTAATCAACAAATTTTTAGTTAAAGGATTGTTCAATTCCCCAAAAGCACCTCTCATACTTCCAACAAAAAAAGCACTACCAACAGCACAGCCAATATATCCCATATAAAATTCAAATTTTCCTCTGCCACTTTCATATCCTTCAGGAAGTATAATTTGTGGTTGACTCTCACGGAAAATTGCTGGATCCAACTGGAAAGAAAAATTTTTTTTTAAATAATCTTTCAGATTTGCGGACTATAATTTTTTGCGGACAAAATTTTTTGCGGATTTCTTTTTTAATTTCCTTTTCCTATGCAGCAGCTATTTTTAACAAATTTTAGTGATTTTCTGATAAAATAATTTAATACAATGTCAGGCTAAAACACAGCCCTACCAAAACACAATCCAGCAAAAATATAATCCAAAGAAAAAATAACCACCACAGGGAAGGTTATCCCGACGAAGATAACAGCTTGTTTCAATTATCAGTATACCAATATTTTGGCTAGACTGTATTTTGGAAGATCGATTTTAGCCCTTCAACCATAAAAATTTGCCCCTCACACAACAAACTCATAAATAAACTTTGCGAAAAAATCCAGACCACTTAAAAATTTTCTAAATGTAGAACCCTTAAACCTCGAAAAAACCCAACCAAAAAACCCAAAAAATTAAAAATAAAAAACCTGCAAATACGGAGTCATTTGAGCTTTTAAAGGAACCCCAGCATGCTTTAATTGCTCCAAAACAAAAAGAGGTGGTTGCTGTCCTCCCATAGGTGGTTGTATATTTGCTTGAGTTTGTTGTTCATTATTCATAGAATTTGGAGAATTTGTTGAATCAGAAGAATTTCCCCACAACCAACCGCTCATTTTTTAAAAGTTTTTTTTTAAATATAAATCTGAATAAGAAAGTGTTAATCAAAGTAAAATTTGCGGACAAACAGTTGCGGACAACAACTAGAATAATCTCCGGACTTTTTTAAAGATAAAGCGTCCTTTTGGCCCTCGTCCGCCCACAGTTGGGACCCGGCCTGTCACTTCGGGTCACTTGGACCCCTTCGGCCTCGTCCCCCCACCGTTGGGAATGACAAAGGAAAAACTTTAAAAAATAGTAAAGTCCGCAAAAAAAACAGACGCAAAAATAGTCCGTGAAGAGTCCGCAAAAAATCCGCAAAAATAATGCACCCCACACTATTTGTTCAACAACACCCGAAAGGAATTTCAGCATTGTTCGCAAATGTATGTCCGCAAAAAATTTTTGAATAAAAATAAAAAAAGAAAAATTAAACAGGGCATAGAACCCTTGAAGAAAATTTTTTTAAAATATTTTCACAAATTATTTAATCAAAAAATGCTTGTGTGTATATGTATATAAATTGTGATGCTAAAATATTTAAAAAATTGAAATGTATGTGATATTGACAAAAAATTCTAACAAAAAAGGAGAAAAAATGTGGCAGAGGGATAATATAAAAAATTCTTTTTTTTTTTTTGAAAAAATAACGAATCCTAACCAGAAAGTTGAAACAAAAACCCCCAAAAAATAAATATAAATATCTCTATCTTATCATATTCTAAAATACTTCCGCTAAAAATGCTTCAATTTTAAGGCAAAAAGTGCAATTAAAAGGCCTAGCCAGGGGGTCGATTTCAGGGGGGCTAAATTTTCATATATCCGAACCGAAAAATCATCGGTTCTTCGGTCCGGTCCACAACCGACAACCCTAATTAAACCAAAAAAAAAATTAAAAAAAAACAAACATCAACAACTTGTATTCGCTCCCCGCCTTCACCATCTTCCCCAGCCTGTTCTTGCTGATCCAAATCAACATCATCTATTTGATCATCATCCATATAATCGTCCCCTTCAACTTCATCAGGATTATAGTCTCCATCATCAGCCATTTTTTAAATTTGATTTTTAATTCTAAAAAATTCTAAAAAATCAAAATAAGAATTTGAATTTAAAAAAAAAGTAAAATTCTGAATAAACAACAGAAAAATTAAAAAAAAATTTTTTCAATTGATTTTATTCAAAAAACAAGAGAACAATATGTTTGTTGACTACTATCAAAAATAAAAATGAAGGCAAATAAAGAATTGTGTGCTAAATAAGGGAAAAATGTGGAGTGGATTCTGGACAAAATTTAAGGATTCTGATTTTAAAAAAATTTCGAAAATTTAGAAAAATCGACATTTCGAGAAAATCGGTTTCGAAAAAATTCGAAATTTCGTAAAAATCTAAATTTCGAGTAAATTCGAAATTCTGAAAAATTCGAAATTTCAAGAAAATCGGTTTCGAAACAATAAAGTTTCGAAAAAAATTTAAATCAAAACCTTTTTCCATAAAAAAAGCTCCCAAATTTACGTAGAAAAATAGGTCACTCCCTCCATTTTACCACCCCACAATTTCCCCCCTCTTCTTACTACCCCCCAAAAATTCAAAAAAAAAAATTCAAAACATATTTTTCGTCATTTCAACCAAAGAACGTCTACTATCTCCATCCACCATCGTCCAAAGTCCCATTAATCCAAGTCCAACAGCCGCCCCCAACCCACTCGATTTTAATCCATAGGGGGCTCTATACAAAGCTCCAGCAATTCCAGCGCCAGTAAAAGAATTGAGTAAATCGTCACTGCTTCCAAATATTTGTGAACGAGCAGTTTTTAGTAACAATTCGGATATACAATAAACAAAAACGGCGGTTCCAGCTGCGGAGAAATATAAAAATTTATTATGGCAAAATATGTTTTTTGGGGTTTAATTTTATTTTTGGGTAGTCCTAAGAGTTGAACAAGTCTTCTTGTTTCAGTCATCGATGAACAAGAAAAACATTCGTATAAAGGAATAACCTAATTTGGGTCCGGTCTAGTTAGGTTCAGTTATAGTCTAAAAAACATAAATTAGACTAACCAGCTTGAGCATAACCACTTCCATATTTGGTTGCTGCGTTTAAAAGGCGTGTAATTCCTGGCCGGCTACTTGCTACGGACTAGAAAAAATGATTTAAAAAAATTTTTGAGAGAGATTAGAAAATAAAATGATGGGGAAGGAAAGATGGGGGAAGCTTCTTGAGTTCCGAAAAAATTGAAATTTTAATGCGAAGCTCTTAACCAAGGCAGGGTTAGATTACCCGAAACTGGTCCAAAAAAATATTTAAAAACTCGGCCAGTCCTTGATTCACAGAAAATATAGTTTGACACCTAACCGGGTACGGAACCGCAAGCTTTCTCACACGGTAGCCCGCAAATCAAATTTAATAATTTTAATAAAATCCAATTTTTCATGGGCCTAACCCGAGAAAACCCGAGCCCAGATCAGTTTGCCGAAAATTAAAAATGTCGAATCCCGAAAAGGTTTAAACAAATTATTCCAAACCTTTGTATTAATCAACAAATTTTTAGTTAAAGGATTGTTCAATTCCCCAAAAGCACCTCTCATACTTCCAACAAAAAAAGCACTACCAACAGCACATCCAATATATCCCATATAAAATTCAAATTTTCCTCTGCCACTTTCATATCCTTCAGGAAGTATAATTTGTGGTTGACTCTCACGGAAAATTGCTGGATCCAACTGGAAAGAAAAATTTTTTTTTAAATAATATTTCAGATTTGCGGACTATAATTTTTTGCGGACAAAATTTTTTGCGGATTTCTTTTTTAATTTCCTTTTCCTATGCAGCAGCTATTTTTAACAAATTTTAGTGATTTTCTGATAAAATAATTTAATACAATGTCAGGCTAAAACACAGCCCTACCAAAACACAATCCAGCAAAAATATAATCCAAAGAAAAAATAACCACCACAGGGAAGGTTATCCCGACGAAGATAACAGCTTGTTTCAATTATCAGTATACCAATATTTTGGCTAGACTGTATTTTGGAAGATCGATTTTAGCCCTTCAACCATAAAAATTTGCCCCTCACACAACAAACTCATAAATAAACTTTGCGAAAAAATCCAGACCACTTAAAAATTTTCTAAATGTAGAACCCTTAAACCTCGAAAAAACCCAACCAAAAAACCCAAAAAATTAAAAATAAAAAACCTGCAAATACGGAGTCATTTGAGCTTTTAAAGGAACCCCAGCATGCTTTAATTGCTCCAAAACAAAAAGAGGTGGTTGCTGTCCTCCCATAGGTGGTTGTATATTTGCTTGAGTTTGTTGTTCATTATTCATAGAATTTGGAGAATTTGTTGAATCAGAAGAATTTCCCCACAACCAACCGCTCATTTTTTAAAAGTTTTTTTTTAAATATAAATCTGAATAAGAAAGTGTTAATCAAAGTAAAATTTGCGGACAAACAGTTGCGGACAACAACTAGAATAATCTCCGGACTTTTTTAAAGATAAAGCGTCCTTTTGGCCCTCGTCCGCCCACAGTTGGGACCCGGCCTGTCACTTCGGGTCACTTGGACCCCTTCGGCCTCGTCCCCCCACCGTTGGGAATGACAAAGGAAAAACTTTAAAAAATAGTAAAGTCCGCAAAAAAAACAGACGCAAAAATAGTCCGTGAAGAGTCCGCAAAAAATCCGCAAAAATAATGCACCCCACACTATTTGTTCAACAACACCCGAAAGGAATTTCAGCATTGTTCGCAAATGTATGTCCGCAAAAAATTTTTGAATAAAAATAAAAAAAGAAAAATTAAACAGGGCATAGAACCCTTGAAGAAAATTTTTTTAAAATATTTTCACAAATTATTTAATCAAAAAATGCTTGTGTGTATATGTATATAAATTGTGATGCTAAAATATTTAAAAAATTGAAATGTATGTGATATTGACAAAAAATTCTAACAAAAAAGGAGAAAAAATGTGGCAGAGGGATAATATAAAAAATTCTTTTTTTTTTTTTGAAAAAATAACGAATCCTAACCAGAAAGTTGAAACAAAAACCCCCAAAAAATAAATATAAATATCTCTATCTTATCATATTCTAAAATACTTCCGCTAAAAATGCTTCAATTTTAAGGCAAAAAGTGCAATTAAAAGGCCTAGCCAGGGGGTCGATTTCAGGGGGGCTAAAATGTGGTGTGTGCCAATTTCCTCGAATTTTTCTCTTTTCCCCGTTTCGGGAGGGGGGGGGGGGGCTTTAGCCCTAGAAGTCCTACGCCCTTGAATCCGGGTAAAGGGTGAGGTACTCGTGCGTGTGTGTGTGTGTTGAACCTCCCCCCAACCTTTTTTAGAAGTTTCCCTGCCCTTTCTCAAGCAACTGGTCAAAATCTCTATAAGTAATTATTTGTTAAAAAATGGAAGTTTTAATAACAGAAAGGACAAGATAGAAATATTTCATAAAATACATAACAATGTTTCGAGTAAACCAGAAAAATATTTTTCTACAAATATTTAAAATTTCAATATGACAGAAATTTTCAAAATTTTTTTCAGAAAAATTTTTTTAATTAAAAAAACCTCTATAATTTTTTTAAAATTCAATGCCTGTTATAATGTTGCATCCTTTTTTCACCATTAGCAAAGCTGTGTCTCCACCCACCACCACCACCGCCGCCATTATTATTATGACCTCTACCACCATCTTTCCAATCATTGCTATTATTTCTTTGACGTTTTGAAATTCCAGAATCTTAAAAAAAATTTTGAAAATATTTTTAATAAGTTCGAAAAAGTCCGCAAGTTTCAAAAAAGTTCGCAAATTAAAAAGAAGTCTGGAAATTTCAAAGAAGTCCGCAAATTAAAAAAAAGTCCGTACGTTCCGAAAAAAGTCCGCAAATTTGAGAAAAAGGTTCGCAAGTCTAAATAAAGTCCGCAAGTTTCAAAAAAGTCCGCAAATCGGAAAAAGTCCGCAAGTTTCGAGAAAAGTCCGCAAATTTCATAAAAAAAGCCGCAAGTTCAAAAAAATCCACAGCTTTTTAAAGCTAAAAAATTTAATATACAAACCTGCTCCAGAAGAATTTCGTCTTTTTGGTCCATAATTACCGCCAAATTCGCGTTGTTGTTGTTTTTGTGGAGGACTAAATAAAGGTGGAGGTTGAACTAAACCTGGAGGTGGAAGTACAAAATTTGGTGGCGATTGAATTGAGGATGGAAGTGGATGTGATGAATTGAATGTATTAAGCTGTCAAAAATAAACAGGTTAGACCATTAGAGATCGAGATTTTTAAAAGAAGAGGCTTGGATGTCGGGATTGGTTTGTTGACATGAGTCGGATCCTAAGCCTTGAGCCCAGAAAACACCCCAGGAAGCCAAAGAAGAGTCTAAAACAAGATGGCGATGGATGTGATGAACTGAATGACCTTCCAACTATCTCTTGAAATGCTACCCTTTTCTCATTTGTTAAAAAGAATATGCTCATCAGATACTGGCAAAAAACCCCGATAAGAGGTCCAAGACTGATAAATCGAAAAAAATGTCAAAAAATGTCTTCCAACCAACAAGGGGTACAAAAAGTCTAGGCTTAAATCCTGCAGAATGGTTTGTTGGTATGACCAGATCCTACCGAAAAAATTCGGTCCTCAACTCAAAAATCCTGTGTCTTCCAACCAACAAGGGACTCAAAAAGACTAAGTTCAAATGCTGCAAATAGTTTTTTAGTATGGAGCAGATCCTACCGAAATAATTCGGTCCTTAACCCATAAATCCGGCACAAATGCCTAATATCACCCCATAAATAAAAACAAAATAAATTTAAAACTCACAAATTTAGGCGTTCTCGGAATTAAAGGAGGCGGATGATTGAACATTGGTGGTGAAGACAAATTTGCTGTAGAATGGTCTCCTCCATTAGTTTGATTGAAAAATTGTTGTTGATTTATTTGTGATTGTTGTTGTGGTGGAGGAGAAGCACCTGGAGGTGGAGGAATTGAAGGATAATTTTGTTGTTGCTGTTGTGAAGCAAAAAATCTAGCTTGGCGTGGATCCATAACTGATGGACGTGGAGGTGGAAGAGCACCAGCAGATTGAGTAGGTAAAGGAATAAATTGAGTATTTAATGGTGGAGGAGCATTAAATTGAATTGGAGGACCAGTAGGCATTGAGGCACGCTAAAAAATAAGGTAGAAAAATAAATATTTAAAAAGATAAATGAGAGAAGAAAAGTAGACATAAAATCAAAAAAGTAACATAAAACCATTTAAATATGTAAATGCCTTATGGAACGGAAGCCTAAACTTAATACAAGGTGATCAATGTGATTTTTCTCTCAAAATTCTTCTAAAAAAGACAGAACCCAAAATAAATTAGAGGTTGATATGGCATGGCCAAAAAAGACAAAGATAGGTAAAAGAACAATCTAAAACCGGTTAAGATTCAGATTATCTTTTAAAACAAAGAGTGAAAATTGACCATTTTTATTTGTTATATCAGGCAAATTCCAAGAAAAACACTCTTACTCTACTTCTATTTCCCCTTCAAATATTTAAAAAAATCCAAACCGTATATTCATTCGCAGATTTCAAAAAACATCGAGAACTACCACTAGTTCCAGGTCTATCTTCCTCATCCATTTCCATATCATCACCTCCCCCAGCCAATTCTTCCCCATCTACACCATGAAGGAAAGGATCATCACCAGCTGTAGGGGAAGGAGCGTCTCTAGGAGGTGATTCGCCTAGCATACACCCTGAACTTTCCATTGTTTCTAATTGCTCTTTAGTCTTCTTAATTCCTTCAGCAAAACGTTCATAAGCCTAAAAAAATTTGAAAAATTTAAAAAATTTTCTTATTAGCAAGAAAAATTGAAAAACTTCCGTCTTATTGTCTCAGAATCGACTCAAAATCAAAACTCGTTGAATTAATTGTGAGTTAAAATGATACCAAAATTAAGCTCAGATGTCAATTGTAAGCCAAGTTATGTGTAATTCATCCCAAAATATTGATCAACTCCCTAATCCTGGATATACTTCCAAATTCCTGACATCACTTAAGACCACCCTTAATCCATTGAATCCCCCTTATATTCCAAAATTAACCCTCATATCCCCATATTGCGGATTGCGTAAAATTGCGTGTTTTTTGAGTTGCGGATTGCGTCTGCGGGTTTTAAAAATAAAATTTCGAGTTGCTGCTCCCTTAAGACGCCCTTAATCCAATGTTCATAAGCCTAAAAATTGGAAAATAATTTAGCGAGAAAAAATTAGAATTGCGAGTTTTTTTTTCCAATTTTTTTCCAATTACGTCCACCCCTAATTCCGAGGGGTCTTTTTATCTAAATGGGAGTCCGAGACATATAACAAATTTTTGTGGTTAAAAAATCCCACCCCCCCTCCTCAAAAAATTAATTTAAAATAAACAAACATCATTAATAACAGTAACATCACGTAATTGTAAATTAAAAGTATTTTCTGTCTTTTTCATTAATTCGTGTAATAAAAGTCCCTTTTGTTTATGTTTTTCAACTGTGTCAAGAAATGAAATTAATTTTTGTCGGGAAGAGTCCATATCTGCTAAAGCTTTAATTCCTTCATTTCGATCTGGAAAAATTTTTTTTAAATACCTTAAAATTAAATAAATTTTGGGGAAAGCCCGCAAGTTAAATCACCAATTCTTTAGTTAAAATTGCTTGCCCGGACATGATTCTAGACTTGTAGTCCAGATCTGTCAATGCTTTCCGAGATTTAATGATATTTTGGAAAAAGTCCGCAAGTTAAATCCGCAAAGGCCAAAAAATACATAGACATGTACAAGAGCCCCTGTCCAAACTTTTCTCATTTCAAGGGGGGATTCGCCTTGGTTATGGGCCTGCTCTAGAAAAATGGCGGAAGAACTTAGAGACAAGAATACGCCAAGGATCAAAACATATATGGTCCTTAAAAGTCCGCAAAATAAAAAATTTAATATTTTATAAGCCTAAAACAATGAGATGCCTCAAAAGCAGGCCCAAACGATATGAGAAGCCCAAATATGCCAAAAATTAAATTAATAATAAAAAGAAAACCTTTAACCCTTCCTTGAACAGATTCTTTAAAATTAAAAGAACTTCGAGACAAAATTTCTCTAGCCTTTTCTGTCAACATTTCATTCTTGTAAAAACTTTCAATTGCTCTAATTATTTTTTGAAAATCAATTATTTCAGTAGCATTTTGAGATTCGTCTTTTTCTGTTGCTATTCTACTAACTATAAAAAAATAAAAATTTAGAAAAGAATTTAAAAAAAATTGACCAAACAATGATTTAAAAAAGGGTCCCCAGAACAATGAGAGGAATGTCCATCCAAGGAAGCATGAAAGGGACCACATCTAGATCACAACCGACGCTCATTTTTAACATTAATGTTGACAAGAATGGGTAGGGTAAATAAAAAAAACTGGGGTCAGGTTCAGAACTCGGATAACTCGACCATCCCTGATGGACAATACCCAAGAAAAGTCAAACATAAAATAGCATAAGAAGGAAAAGGGTCACACAAAAAATCCCTTAATAAATTCACTTACCCAATGCCGTCTTCATTTCCTCAATTATATGAGCTGGATAAACATTTCTTTCTCCAAATACTTCAACACAACGGGAAATGGCCTTTTTAACAGTTACACTAAAATAAGGAAAAATTAGTCAAAAACAAATTCAAAAAACCTAGAAATAGTTGTTGCATTAATTAGATGAGGATGAAAGGTTAAAGTAACATTAATGTCACGTTTACAAGCCGCTTTTTGTACAACATCATTAAGCACATAAATTAGAGCAATGCGGAGTTTATCGTTTGCTAAAAGAAAAAAAATTTTTAATTTTAAGAGGTAAATATATTTGCGGACATTTTTTGCGGACAAATTTAAAGAAAGGAGAATACAGTCGAACCTCACTTATAGATATACCGTTAGACTAAAAAATGTCTCTAAAATCGAGTGTAGCCATTACAAGAACACCATCCGACTTTTCTCCTAACCCGACCCATCCCAGTACTGAAAAGTATGAATCATAAGAATTTTGTCCGCAAAAATTTGTCAGTAAATTTTTTGCGGACAATTCTACCTAAAGGAATATCCAAAATTAATTTTAAATAATCCCTCAACCCAAAAACCGAACCAGAATACGCTTCGACTTTTCTCTTAACTAAACCCATCCCTACACTAAAAATATGAATCATAAAAATTTTGTCCGCAAAAAATTGTCCGCAAGTTTTTTGTGGACAATTCATCCAAATATCCAAAATTAATTTTAAATAGCTTCTCAACCCAAAACCCTTAAATATTATACTTTGTTTGTAAATATCCATCCAACAGTTGGCTATCTTATCAATAGATTCTCTATGATGAAGCAACCATTTTGAACAAGTTTGGACTGATTCTTGGGTAGAATTAACACTCATAAGCCTTTTACGCATAATTTCTTCAGTAGGCGGAGAAACCATTTTTTAAAATAAATTAATAAGAAAATCTTTTAAAAAACCTAAAAGAAAATCTATCAGAATTAATGGGGATCAAAAACAAAATCTTGCGAGAATTTTCTCTCGGGAGAAAAAAAATTTTTTTTAATGCGAAACGAAAAAGGCCAGTTGAGTGCCAGTGCATTAAGTGTAAAATTGGCTGTTTCTATTTTATCGCATAACTTGTCTTGTAATGGTTGGATCCCTACAATTTTGGAATATTTCAACGCGTCTCGAAAAGCTGCGTCGAATGACACCAAAATCATCTTGTTATGAGTCTCTTACGCTTAGTTATGGCCCTAGAAAAAAGCTGGCTTTGCGTTAAACTGGCCTTCTCTTTTTAGATTTTTAGTTTTGGTGTTTCGTTAATTTAACAGTTCATTTATTTAAAATATCAATTTTCAAAACGGTAAATAGTGGGGAAATTTGCAAAATGTCTTAAAATTGAAAATTTAATTTTTCTTCCGTATCCTTTTTGTTTTTTTTCTGTTGTTTTTCTGGTTAAATTTTCGAAACCTTGTTGTAAGTTCTCTGACCAGTATTCTTGCCACCAAATTTCAATTTACCCACGTTATTTTTGCGGAACTGATTGTTAGTAAGGTGTATAGAAGTATTAAGCTTGATTGATTTAAAAAAGAAAAAAATTAATTAGAGGCTCATAATGGTCAGAGAACTGGGGCCCTTTATACGGCAGTTGTGCCCAAATTTATTTTATTTGTTCGATTTGCACTCTGACTCATCGGCGCTCCGACTCGGGCACAGTGATCCATTTGCACAGTAAGTCAATTGCACAGAGGGCATCTGCACAGTAGACAATTGCACAGTAATTTGTGGTTAAGTGGATTCGTGTTATAGATTTTACTTATTGTTATAAGGGAATAAAATGTTATTAATTATTAGAGATGGGACCGAACGATTTTTTTCGATATTTTTGACACCGAAAAAATATTATCGATAAATATCGACTGAGAAAATTTTGACTTTTTCGATATTTTTCGGTATTCGTTATTTATCGAAAACTATCGACCGACCTCTTCGGCGATCTCTACCTTTTCCAAAAATATGTATGATTTTTGAGAAAAATCTTTAAAATACAAAAAGAATCAAACGAACAAATAATTAACATAATAATTGCCCGAGTATTAACAGCATTTTTTAAACAGGAAAGAGATTTTTGGATCCTCCTTTTAAAAAATCTTATTTCTGATGCACTGTACTTATTTAATAAAATCTAAAAAATGTGATTGGACTTATAAAATTCCTATGGACTCATACAAAACGCAGTCTCGCCCTTGGCGTCTTCAGTAAAGTGCCTGTCCCGTAAGAAATTTTTTAAAAATGTGAAAAGGTGTTTATCCGATAGAGCAGACTCAGAACTACAAAGCGGTACCTAACCAAAAATTCTCAAATGCGGAGATCCTTTAGAACATACTCTAACAGATGATTCGCAATAAAAATAAAAAATAATTTCTAAAAACTTAATTTTAAAATCAAAAAAATCCAAATTAAAAAAAGCGACACTAATTATGACCCGACCTAATGATAATTAATAACATTTTATCCCCTTATAACAATAAGTAAAATCTAACACGAATCCACTTAACCACAAATTACTGTGCAATTGTCTGCTGTGCAGATGCCCTCTGTGCAATTGACTTACTGTGCAAATGGATCACTGTGCCCGAGTCGTGTCACCGACTCATCTATTTTCTCCCTAATTTTTTTTTAATTTTCAGTTCCTCTATATTTATCTAATTAAAAATGTCAAGTCAACCTCCTTTTCTAGTGTAAGTTTTAAACTATTTCTTCTAAAATTTAATTTAAAAATTTTCTAGTATTGATGGTTATCGAGACAGAGACAGAGAAGGAAAGGATTTTTTGGATCCCGAAGCAGGCAAATTTAAAAGGACTGAATATGCCCATTATTTTATTCCTGGTTGGCGAGCTTTTTTGCAGGACAGTTATCAAAGTAAGCAAATTTTTTTTTATAATATGACCTCCCTATATTTGGTTGGGTAGCCACGGCTTTGAGGAGCTGCCTGGACATTAAACTCTTTTAGAGATCGACCTGGGTCTGTGCCAAGGCCTGGGGTTTTCCTGTACTCAGAGTCCAGGCATTTTTTTTGGCCTTTCTGGGGTTTTCCTGGGCCCAGGATCCGGCCCAGGACAATCAATCAAACCCATAGTTCAGGAACAGGCCCATGCATTTTTTTGGCCTTTTGGGGTTTTCCGGGGCCTGCGTTTTTTCCAGGACTACAGGCTCAGGACCCGGCACAGGTCAATAAATCAAACCCAGAGTCCAGGAACGGGTCCAGGCTTTTCAAAAATCTCGATCTCCAAACCCTATTCGAATTACACCTCAATATTAAAAAAATATGGGGTAGCCCTCTATTGGATATTGTTCCCCAAAGCATATTCCTTATATTGATGTGAGCTCCGATAAAATTTTAATTAATTCTGCTTTTTTTTCAAGTGCCTGGTTCCGATTGTGGTTTATTTGAGGCGCAGTTCTTCAAATGTATGGAAGCATTTGGGGCTAAACTGTCTCGCCTTTATTGCGATTTGGAACAACGTGATTTCTCGGAATGTGTTACTGGGGAAAAGAAGGTTAAATTTATTATTTGGAATAAAAGAGATCTTTCCTTATATCCTTAAGATATTTTGCGGACAATTCTTGCGGACAAAATTTTTTTTAATTTCTCATTTTCCCCTTCGTTAGGGGTATTCGGCTACCCTAAACCAGAGGACTTTTTTCTCAACTCGAAACACCCTCTTGGGGTATCTAATTCTTGAGATGTCTGATAGAGAAACGCTGGACGGGGAGCAGGCCAAAGTATCGCATATCTATAACTTCGTTCAAAATTATTCAATCTGGGACGCCCTGGCATGTTTCGGAGCACATCGACTAGCTAACTCGACCATACAAATACATCCCTAATTCGATAACTTTGAACGAAGTCAGGCTCGGCTCAGGGGGATAGGGGAGGTACTTTGGGGAGGAGGGGTTTACCCAGACGGAATTTTGCAGGAAATGTGATTTAGCCAGTCTCTAGCATCTTGAAACTTCTTTAAAAGTATTTTAAACTCTAAAAACTTTTTAAAATTTAGTTTAAACGTTTTCGTGCTATGAAGGACATTCGATTTAAAAAATGGCTTAGAGGTGATCGTCCAACTATGTGGGAACCAACAATTGAATATATTCGTGCTGTAAAGCCGAATTTTGCTGGAATGGCTACTGGACCTGATAAAAAGCCAAAAGTTATTCAAGCGGTTAAAACACAATAGTATTTTACTTTTTTTAAATAGAAATTATATAAATGTTGTTTTGAATTGTTTTTGATAGGTTAAGTGCCCAAAAAAATTTTACAAGTCAAGAAGAGTACTTTTTTGTTTCCCTCCTTCCCATGATCTTTTGCGGATAATTGGGGAACAATTTTATATGTTTCAAAAATCAAAGCTTCTTTTCTTGAAGGAAAAATTTTTATTTGTGCGCCTGTATGGACGAAATAAAATCTTTTGGCACTCCTCGCGGTAATAGTTCGGTTCGTACCCCCCTTCTTATTCTTTCCTAAAAGTATTAAAAAATGGTCAGTTATTCTTAAGTTATAGAACTCTTCGAGCTGTGTCGAATGACATCAAAATCAACCGCAGGTCTTAACTTTGGACCGAGATACAGACTCTAGAAAATTGAAAACTAACAGGTTGGACAAAGCTCATATTTTTGGCTAAAAATTCGATTAAACATAAATTAAACAAATAATAGCTCTTTCGAAAGAGCTTGTCGAGATGATTCGAGTGACATCAAAATCAACATAATTGAACAAGATTTGACAAACTTATGACATAAATAATCCATTTGTGTAGGCGAGACACTTTTGCAAAATCTTTCGCTTTGCGCAGGTTTTTGTATGTATCTCGGCCCAAAGTTAAGATCTGGGGTTGATTTTGATGTCATTCGACACAGCTCGACGAGTTCTATAACCTAAGATTGACTGACCATTTTTTAATACTTTTAGGAGGAAAAAAGGGGGGGGGGGGTACGAACCGAACTATTACCCTCCTCGCCTTCTAGGAGTAAACCATATTTGCTTTTACCCATATTTGCGTTCAGGACAAAAATTTGTAATGGTTAGTTTTTCCTAAAACTGGGTAATATTAGAGAACGGAACGGGACAAAATCTCCAAAAAAAATTGGTTATCGAAATTTTTCTAAATATTGAAGAAAAAATATTTACAGTCCGTTCTCTAATTAATTTACCTATAAATTTATTTATTTATTTATTTATTTATTTACGCCTTGATGGCGCGAGTCAAGTCAAAAAACAATAAAAAACGAAATCAAGTAAAAAAAATATATAAAAAAAACAAAATCATGTCAATAAATTAAAAACGAAAAGAATGTAACAAATAGTATACAAAATTATTGTATATAAATTTAAATCGAACTTAATTCAGCCTCCGAATTGCGTGAAAAATTAATATGCGTTATGTTTTTTGCGAAATTTTTGTAATCTAATTTTCTAAAGTATGCCGGTAGTTTATTATAATACCTTATAGTCCTTACAAAAAATGAATTATGTCTAGTAATTGAGGTGCATGCTTTATATGATATTTTGTTTTGGTCCCCCCTTGTTTTAGATGGAATGATGAAATAGGGGTTATTTATGTTAATTGGGCTTAATCCTATGCAATGCTTGTGAAAGATTTTAAGATCTGTTATAATTCTTCTATTCTCTAAAGAATCGATATTATATAATCTGAGGAGTTCAGAGTAGCTAGGGATTTGTTCATTAAGTGTTATATTATTCTTGCGGTTATATACCATCCTTACGAAATCTTTTTGAATCTTTTCTATTTTGTTAATGTATTTTTTATAGTAAGGATTCCAGATAGGAGAACTAAATTCCAATATACTTCTTACATAAGTGGTAAACATATTAATTAAGAATCTTTCATCATTTGATTTTAAGGACCTAAGAATTGTATAACTAATTCTTCTAGCTTTATTACAAATAATGTCGATATGATTATGGAATTTTAACTCATGATCAAAGAAAATACCCAAATCCCTTACAGTTTGATTTCTACCAATTTTTGTTATGTGAGTATCTTCTATTGTATAAATGGTGCGAGGATTTTTAGTGCCTAGATGTAATATATTACATTTCTTTGTAGCTATATCCAATCCGTTTATTTCTGTGTATTCGGAAAATTTCTTAATAAATTCTTGCATTGGGTTTGAATTGACTGGATTGTCATTGAAAATGTAATATGCCTTAATATCATCTACATACAGTTTAACCGTTATATTTTCTGTATAACAGAATTCAGTTAAATCATGTATGTAATATAAAAACAATATGGGACCAAGTAGGGATCCTTGCGGGACTCCACTTTTTATGAGCGTTTTCTCAGAAAAGGATTCTTGGATTTTTACGGAAAAAGTTCTATTGTTTAAGTAGTCTCTAAGCCACTCAGTTAGAGTATCTGGAATATTTAATGATTTTAATTTACTTAATAATCTTTCGTGGGATATGGTATCAAATGCTTTTGACAGATCGAAGTAGATTATATCTGCGGATTTTTTATTTTCTAATGCCATAGTAAGATCATCCATAACTTCTAGTAGTTGGGTTGTTACGGATTTACCTATATGGTATCCATGCTGCTCTTGTGGGAAAATTCTGTTTTTCCGAGCATGTTCAACTAATTTAGAGGCTAATATTTTTTCTAATATTTTGGCTGTTGAGGAGAGGAGAGAGATTGGTCTAAAGTCGTTAGGTTTTTTAGCTTTTGGAATCTTTTGGATTGGAACGATTATACTTTCTTTCCAGAGATCCGGTACCTTTTTTGTCATTAATGATAGAGAGAATAAACTAAAGAGTGGATATGCCAATGTTTGTGCACAATTTTTAAGAAAGATATTAGGTATGTTATCAGGTGATGTGTTATTCTTATTATCTAATTTAGTTAAATAATTAAATATATCGTAAACTGAAAAATCCATGTAATCTATTGTGTTTAATAATGGGGGAGTTTTGTTAGTAATCTGTGTGTTAGTCCAACTGCCTTTAAAGACTGAACTGAAATGAGATGCAAGTATGTTGACTTTCTGTTTATTTGTGAATATTATGTTGTCATGCTCGTCTACCATTGTTGAGTATTTTAAATTTTTGGATTTAATGAAAGCACCAACATATGCAAATTTCTTTTTTGGGTGGGGTATTATCTTTTTTTCCTTATTTTTCCGAAATTTCATCATTTGTTTCCTTATTAGATGAGTTATCTTCAAATAGTTTGGTCTATTGGTTTTATGAATGTTTCGTTTCCATAAACCCTCTTGAGTGTCTAATAATTTTTTAATATGAGTTGGTAATCCTTTTAGTTTATTTCCTATAATTAAACAAGGTATAAAAAAGTTTATTGTTTCGTTAATTATGTCAGAAAATTTTTTATAGTTGATGTTTATATCATTAGAGTGCCCAAATATGGTTATCCAATCAATTGAAGCCAAGTATTGGTTAATAGTTTTATAGTCCGCTTTTTTAAAGTCCTTGATGTATGATGTTGGTTCATAAGTTACTGTTTGCTCTAATTCAAAAACTATACTGTTATGATCCGATGTTGAGAAAGGGGGTGCTATTTCTAACTTGTGTATTAAGTTGTGTGTGTTAGTAAAAACAAGATCTAATATATTTTTTCCCCTGGTACCTTGAGAGACAAGTTGTATTAACTGTTGGCTGTTAGTAAATTCACAAAATTCGTTTTCAATATGAGTGGTGTGTGAAACAGGCAAGAATTGTTCCCATTTTATCCCAGGAAAATTAAAATCTCCTAACATTATACACGCATTTTCAGTGGTACTGCAGTATAATATAGTTTCCAAAAAATTAGAAAAATCCTGTGATTTTTGAAATCCAGGGGGCCTGTAGATAGCAATAACTCTTATTGTTTGGAGTTGCGGTAATAATAAGTCGAATGATACCAAGTTGAAACTGTTTGTTTTTAGAATCTTGAACTGTTTAAACGGTAATGCCTTATGAATTAGAACGCAAACGCCACCACCTTTTTTGGATGGTCTGTCTGATCTTAAAATTTCATAATCTAATGTATGTAAAATAAAACTGTCAATAACTTCTTTATGAAGCCAGGATTCGCTAGCCACTATGATTTGGTATTTATAGGTACTTAGCAATGACCGAAATTCATTCATTTTATTTAATAAACTACGAGCGTTAAAGCAAATGCATTTTATATTGCTGAAGGTTTTAAAATTTTTCGACTTATTTTTAGATTTCTTATTGATTATTTGTACGCATTTCGGAGGTATTTGGACTGTTTTATAAAGAAGCTCATAATTTAGTGGGTGGAGATTAAGTTTTTTGAGTGTGGATTTGTATTTATTGTGGTGCGAAAAATTGGAATCTCCTCCCGCAAAATTACCATTCCAGCATATATGATAAAGTCGGCACCGGATGCGCCTTACGTTTTTCATGACACTCTTTTATGAGAATGGATCGATTGGCAAGTTCTGTTTTGGAAAGGGACTCTCGCAAATGTAAATGTTTGTATTGATTTTTTAGAAATTTTTTGCCTGAGAGTGCCTCCCGAACAGCATATGAACAAGGAAATTTAATTTTAATTGGGCGAGGTTTATTTTGATTAATTTTCCCCATGCGAAAAATCCCAGTTGGTAGAGCACTTGAAACTTTACATTCATTTAAAACCTGTAAAACTCGTTGTTGATCATCCTTAGCCTTCTCAATTGATTCAGCTTGTTCACTTTCTGGTAATCCATTAAGCACGAGACAGTGGCGTCTTTCCTTCTCCTCCATTTCTTGCCTAAATTCACCATATTGAAGTTGGCTAGTTTGTTGATTCCCAGTTTGTTGTTGTTGTTCCACTACCAATTCAGAAGTCAATGTTAATATCTGCTGCATTTGGGTCATTAGAATTTTTGCCCACGGAGGTGTTGTAGTGTCGTTATTCATTTGTTGAAAAATTTCTTGAAAATTTAAATTATTGATTTGCTCAATTAATCGTGAGCGTTTGTCGTTAACTGGTGTGCCAGATAAATTTAATGGCGTATTTGCATTTCTTTTTGTGGATGTTGATTGATTATTTATTGTCGACATTTCCATAAGTTATTACCCAGAGTAATGTAACTTAAATCTTAAACTTAAACTTGGGTAATTAAACCAAATTTTTTTTTGATAAATTTTTTCTTAAATAAATTTTATTTTTGAATATTTTGTTTAATCAAAAGGCTTCTTAACTTTTTAATTTAATCTATTCTTATTTTTAAAACCGATTTTTTAAAATTTTTTGAATGGTGATTCTCAACAGGCATCGGATTCTGCCTTTTGTACAAAAACGGTTTATTCAGGTTAATTTAAAATTTTTTAAAGGTTAAACCTACAAAGCTACTTTTTGGGTATCCCGCCTCCCCAGTTTGAGTATCAGGGTTTTTCTTGAGTTCTACGTAATGGTCAGACTTTCTCATTTCCACTCAATTTTCCGGTGGATTCATTTCCCTGTGTATGTGTCGGTTCCGTCTCCAGCTCAATTTTTTCCAAAATGTAAAAAATGGTCAGTCATTTCCTTGCATAACTTTACAAAATTTCCCTTTGGTATCATTCAATGAATGTGAGACATCTCCAAATACTGACTCACAAGATACATGTTTTAATGAAGAAGAGTGTCTGATTTAATGATGCTACAAAAAATTTTGTGAAGTTATGCAAGGAAATGACTTACCATTTTGCACATCAAGGAGAAAAGTTGGTTCAAGGGAGGGGAACGACATACTTTGGCCGTTTCACTGTGTAAATATTAAAAAGAAATGAGGCTCAAAGTGGGGGAAGAGGGATCTGGATATTCAAAAAAAAAATACCCTAACATATTTTAAGGGTTATTCATGGAAGGACAGTTCTGTTTATTATGGAAAATTCATTCGTCCGTTGCCTGATGGGGTTAAACCAACCCATATAATTGTTGGTGCTGGTTCTGCTGGATGTGTCTTGGTTTCTTTTTAATTTTTTTTTCAATTTTTTTGAAATTTTTAGGCAAACCGATTAACCGAAGATCCCCAAAATCGAGTTCTTTTAATTGAGGCTGGCCCTAGAGATTATTGGTGGAATTGGAAAATTCATATGCCGGCAGCTTTAATGTACAATCTGAAGAATAGTAACTATAATTGGTATACTTTTTTAAATTTTTTGTTGGAATTTTAAAGTGCTATATTTCGGTCCAATGGTTGTTTTTCGTGTTTTGAGTGTATGCGGCGTCAAATTAAAATTTAGGGCAGATTTTAATTTCAGACAAATTGAAATTTCAGACAAGGACAGAATTGCAGTCCGACACTCGTACATTATTTCACTTATTTTTCCCACGTTTTTAAGTTTGCAGTCAGACAGTTGATATAATTAAACCTAAAATAAAAGTTCAATTTTAATATGCTAACACATTTGACGTTGAAACTGACATTTATGATTAATTTGATCTTGCCATATTTTAAGTTTCTTCATATTAATGAAGGGAATTTTAGGGTTTATTACACTACATCGCAAGAAAAAATGAACAATCGCGCAATTTATTGGCCTCGTGGACGTGTTTGGGGTGGTTCAAGCTCGTTAAATGCAATGGTTTATATTCGTGGGCATCCTTTGGATTATGACCGATGGGAAAAAGAAGGAGCAAAAGGATGGGCTTTCAAGTAAAATATTTTTAAATTTTTAAACGGGTTAATTATAAGATTAGTGGTTATTGTCGGTAAAGGTGGGTCAGAAGCCTGATTGAGCCGGATTTTGAATCGGGTCAGTCTGGCTGGCCTTGAGTCGAAAATTGGACTTAGTTCTGATGTAGGTACTCATTGTCAGAACTCAGATCAGCAATTTAAAAAAGTGCTCGGAATTTGGCCTACCTCAACTATCCATAATTCAGAAATCTTGTTTTTTTTTGTCGTGACTTTCTTGACTTCTCAAATCTAGAGAACTAGAAGCTTTTGTTGTTATTTTTGTTAAATTATATCCCTTAAAATATTCCAAAAAAAAATTTTTTTTCTAATTTAGAAATTGCCTTCCATACTTCAAGAAAGCCCAACACCACGAGCTTTCAACAGGTATTGAAGACCCATTCAGAGGCAGTCAAGGACCTCTATACGTAACACAAGGACGTTGTGAAAATCCTCTTCATCAAGCTTTTTTGGAGGTTGGAAAGCAACACTCTATTGGGTCAACGGAAGATATGAACGGGTTTAAACAAGAAGGAATTGGTCCAATGGATATGACAATAAAAGATGGAAAGAGATGGAGTGCCTCTTCTGCTTATCTAAATCCGGTAAAATTTTTATTAAAAATATTTTTTAATTTTGCTAGAGTGTCAGGAATAGGACGTGTTCCCTTATTTTTTAGGGCTTTTTTAGGGAATAGGGCGCCTGTGTACCCCAATAATACTAAATTATAATAGATGACAAAATTTATTTACATATACCAATCCAGGTCAAATTTTTGAAGTTTGACCAACCCCAACCCGACTTTTATCAATCCGTCTCTTTCCTAATGTGTATATTAGGAATGGAACCAATTGAGAGATTAATGGGTACTAGAGATATCGGATCGTGTTGATATCTCCTTCACAAATATCGTTTATCGTGATATCTATTTTTATGGTCCTTAAGTTCGGTCTCTAATAGCCACCCTTTGTTTTTCTTATTTTTCCGGTTGTTGACCGTCTGATTTTTCGAGTGGGGCAAATCACCTATTATATTGATAAAGAACGCAATTGATTTTTCAAAAAAAAATTTTTAATTTGTGTATTTTCCAGATTCTTGACAGGCCAAATTTATATACAACACAAGGAATTACTTGCACACAAATTTTGTTTGATAAACACAGAGCTATTGGAATTGAATTTATTAGGTTTTCAAATAATTTCAAAAAAAATTAGTTTAATTTATTTAAAGAAAAATCAATTTTACAACAACATCTTTAATAGATGCTGGATCTAGAGAAAAAATTTATTGTACTGATGCTGTTATTTTAGCTGCTGGTGCTATTAATACTCCTCAATTGCTTATGTTGAGTGGTTAGGATTTTTTGTTTAATTTTTGAAATTTTTTTTTGAATTTTGGGGAATTTATTCTTGATTTATTTGGGTCATTAAATTAAACATTTTTTAGGTGTTGGCGATGGTGACCATCTTTATGTATGCTTTTTAATATTTTATATTATTTGGGAATATTGGGATTTTTGTTGTCGTCCTACTTATGATAGAATGAGACGTGTTGAAAAAAAAAGTCGGGCGCGTTTTAAATCAGATTTTTCAAAATTTTCTTCAGTTCGGGGTTCGGGGGAAAAAGTTTGGGGTTTTTGTTAAGTCTGGTTTAGAGGCTACGTCCGGAGTAATTTTTATGCTTGTGAGCCTCGCTGTTTTTGAATTGAGGCGTACGAGTTATCATTTTTTGTCAAATCCTCCCACTAGGTTTGTTGGACCGAATCTGACTGACTTGACCATTTTGGAAACCTTAATTCTATTTAAATTAAATTTTTACTTTAATATCTCTTTTCACTCCTTATTTTATTTAAACCTAAAAAAATTTTAATTAAGCCTCTCAAAATTCCAATTGTGCAAGATATGAAAGGTGTTGGTCGAAACCTCCAGGACCATTTAGAAATTTATGTTCAACAGGTTTTTTGCAATTTTAATCTTTTAAGTTAAATTCTGTTTTTAAAAAGAAATGTTTAAAACCAATAACATTATATAACAAATCTACTTGGAAACATCCACATAGAATGATGCAAATTGGTGCACAATGGTTTTTAACAAAAACGGGTTTGGCAGCAAGTAGTCATCTTGAATCTGGTGGTTTTGCTAGGTCTAGTCCAGAGGTTTTTTTAAAAATTTTTTTATTTTCTTGAATTTTGTTGGGGTTTAGTTATCTAAAAATTCAAAATTTCCCCTAAATTTGGTCACTCATTTTTCAATAAGGGATGTCCTAAGATCGATAGAAATTCAAAAAACAAATTTGTGGGATTAGCCCATAATCTGGAACTTGCCAACAAAAGTTGTTACAAGAGAACAAACATCTTTTACTTTCACTTCAAGAAATCGACTTCCGTTCCCTTTTCATGTCAGCCTGACAATGAGTCTCTCTCTTAAATATTAATTCATAAAGATTTCCAAGACTCTCTTGATCCAAGACTTTTCTTGGGGGTTTTTTCCCAGAGGAAAGTTTTCAGGGTCGTACATCTCTATTAATCCATTCTCAATTATTTTTCATTAGATTCCACACCCAGACATTCAATTTCATTTTTTGCCTTCCACTGTTCACGACGATGGCCGTTCTTCTCCAAAATGTCACGGCTATCAAGTACATGTTGGCCCTATGCGTTCAAAATCTACAGGAAGAGTTTATTTAAAAAGTAGCGATCCTCGTGAGGCTCCTTTGTGTGACCCTAATTATTTTGGTGATGAAAAGGATTGGGTGGAATTTAGACAGTCTATTCGTCTTTCAAGAGAATTGTTTGCGCAAAGGGCATTTGATGATTTTCGTGGGGAAGAGTTGGCGCCTGGAAAGGATTGTCAAACTGATGAAGAGGTTTTTTTGGAATTTTTTATTTTTTAAGCATGATTATTGGTTTTTTTTCTATTTTTGGGTATTTTAAATTTTGTGTTTGTTCCTTTTTCATTTGCCCATCAATTTCCTCTTTTATCAATTTCTTTTGATCTATTTACCTTCCAAAGAGGAGGAAACACAGAATTCAAAATACCCCAAAATTCTTCCCTATATTCATTTTCTTTATGGCATATTTAAGTGAGAGAGTAATCATTTTTTTATCCTTATGAGAAGACTAAAAATTAATCTTTAATGAAAATGATAACCCGAAAATTCAAAAATTTCCCTTATTTGAGAATATCATAAGGTGAGTTATTGTGAGATATGTGAGAAAGGAAGGTAAATTATAGAAGGAAATTTTAGGAGAAATAAAAAGGTGCCATAAGTCTTCTTTTCTTTCTTGCTAATTTTTAATCTACTTATTTTTAAAAATATTTTTTACTTTAATTTATTCAATAAAGGACCTTTTTAATAGATTGACCAATTTGTCGCGCAATATGCAGCTTCCGCTTACCACCCTTCTTGTACATGTAAAATGGGATCAAGTAATGATAACTTGGCTGTAGTGGATCCTGAAACAATGAATGTTTATGGTTTTGAAAATTTGAAGGTTTTTAAAAATTTTTTAAAAAATTTTTGAGAAAAAAATTTTTTTGAAAGGTAGTAGATGCAAGTATAATGCCATCAATTATTAGTGGAAATTTAAACGCCCCAGTAATTATGCTTGCAGAAAAGGCGGCTGATATTATAAGTGGAAAGACTCCTTTACCCTCTGAAAATCCGCCGATTTGGTCACCTCCTAAATAATAGTTGGAAAAAAAAAATTTTTGAAATTTTTTGGAATTTTTTTTTTATTTTTGAGGAGCTGGGGGGATTTTTTAAAATTTAATTTCTATTTTTAGGAATGTTGCATTTTAAATTTTGTCTAATATTTTTTTGTTATTTCTTTGTTAATTAGTCAGCATATTAGAATTTTTTTGTTGTTATCTTTTTTTGAAACTTAAATTTTCTTTTTTCTATACTTTTTAAATTTTATTTTCCCTTAACTTAGATTATTTATTACTCAAAATTCTGAAACTTATTTCCTTTTAATTTTTGTTTATTAGTAAAATAAACTTTTTCAAGTTTTTTTAGAAGCTTCTTGTGGGTTAATTAAATGAAAATACATATTTGTTGTTTCCGGAAAACGCGAGTTTCAAAAAACTAATTATTTGAGAATATTTGTTGCTATCTTTTTTCCGGAAAGATAAGTGTTGTTATTTCCGGAAAACACACATCAATTTTTAAAAATGCGCGTTTCCGGAAGACGAATGAACTATTCCGGAAAACAGGAGTATTTCCGGTGTTTTCCGGATTGTCACTGAGTTTTCCGGAAAACTAGTATTTTCCGGAACTAGAATATAATTTCCGGAAAACACAAAATTCCCGGAAAAACACAAAATATGTATGTAATTATTTGTTTCCGGAAAACACAACCTTCCCTTCGGAAGAACATAATACACAGTATTTCCGGAAAACTTGAAAAATCATTTCCGGAAAGCTTGGGAGAATTATTCAAATCGTACTTAACTAACCCAACAATTATTAATCTTTCTTTAACAGCTAAAAAAATTAAAAAATGTCAAATAATAAAATAGACTCAACAACCACAATAACAACATCTTCAACCTTTTCTGATCTCACAACAACAACCACAAAATCTTTTACAGCTCCAATTAAATTAATGGCAAAATTTCATTTATTACCTCAAAATGAATATATTACAATTCCGGAAGATTTATTTATTTATTCTGGATTTCTTCGGGAATACAAAAAGGGAATGCTTAATGACAAATTTTGTAGAAATGTTGAGTAGGTTTTGACTAAAAATTAAAATTAATTTATTTTTAAGGGAGAATCTGATCATTCCGTTGCCTCCAATTGCGGGAAAACCGGTTTATAAGCATTATATTGAGAAGCTTTGCGAGTTTTTTACTTTGTAGGTATTTTTTAAATTTAATTCCTTTTGTTTGGGAATGATGCAGTAATGACAAAGGCGCGGAAATACTAACCTCTCAAAAGACAAGGAAATACCAAGATGTGGATTGTGAACAACCTTTCACATGATTGAGACATATGGCAAGGGTGTGCCGTTTTTCTAACAGCTAAAAAATATTGAGAATTTTTTGAGGATTCTTGGGGTTGGGATCCTCTGTCACTTTTGGATTTTTGACTATATTTTCATGGATTTTTCACTAAAAATTTGTTTCGGCACATCCCTACTACATAAATACTTTTTTATTTTCCTCCACTTTGGTATTTTGACAGCTTTTTGGTATTTTGGCTTTTGGTGTTACTTCGCGCTCCTCTTATTTTGGGTTGGAGCAGGATATCTCGAACAAAAACCTAGGACGATTTATCCAATTATTTTATTTTACAGGTATACTAGGCACAATTACGGCCCTGGTTCTAGTGCTAAACGCGTGCCTTCCTCTGTTGACATCCGCAATTTAAATGGGCAGAAAAATGGAAATTCTGTTTCTAACAATAAAATGAACAATAAAATGAGAAATGTGAATCTACCTTTTTTATTTAATTTTTCTTTAATTTTAGCAGGACGATAACAATGCTGCTGGCCGTTCACCAGAAAAATCTTCTAGTGGAACGGTATGAGTTTTTTGAATTTTCTTTTTAAATAGTTTTTTTCTCGTTTTAGTTTATTGCCGATATGGAAGCAAAAGCTGACGCCAAGGTTTAGACGTTTTTCTTTCAAAATTTTTAAAATTTTTAGTGGTCAAAATTACCAGATTGGGCCCATGGCTGGTTCTCTGCGTTGGACAAAGACATTCTTATAAGCACTGCTAATGTTGCTAGTTTTCTCACAGCGACACCTTTTGTGGAACACTTTGCTAATTTTTTGGCTATCAAGGTTATTATTGAGACAACTTTTTTAGAGGATTCTTGGGGTTGGGATTTTTTGTCATTTTTGGATTTTTCGAGTGATTTCCATAACACGCTTAATGCTAAAATGCCGAAATACCAACCTTCCAAAAGCTGCTGACAAGGAAAACTCACGAACTGTAAGCAAAAGTTAGGACTTTTTTGGTACCAATCAATAACAATTGCAAGAGTAAACCGATAATGCTCTAACGATTGGTACCAAAAAAAATCCTAAATTTTGACTTACAGTTCGTGTGCTTCCCTTGTAAACAGGGAATGTTGTCCCAAATATTGGAAGGTTATTAACAATTTTATCTGATATTTCGGCAGCTTTTAGGGGGTTCGGTATATCGGCGTTTTGGCAATACGACGTCATACCCCAATTTTGAGAAAATTTTTTTTTAATTTTCAGAAAAATTTTTTCTTTCAACCTTTTTTGATTCTATTGTCTTATTTTCAATTTTAGGTCCAAGAAATGGAGAACGAAAAACAAATTATGGAGTACCTCAACTATAAATTTGATGACTTTGAAGGGGCTAGACTCAAACAACAACTTTATGTTTTTGACTAGGAAAAATATTTTTTTTAAAAAAGTTTAATTCGTTTTTTAGAGTTAAGAATAGAATTTTTTGTATAAAATTTCTATAAAATATTTTTATTTTTTAATGGAAATAAATTCCATAAAATATTTTTTTAATTTTCTGACTTTTTTTTGAAAATTTTTTTTTCAGAAATTTTTCAAAAAAATTTCAAAAAATTTTTTTTTAATTTTTTATTCAATGAATTGGATCCATTGTATGCTTTATTAATTAATTTTTTTATTCAAAATATTTTTGAAGGCAACAAGTGCTCATCAATTCCTACTGCGGGTAAATGCTCCTTCTGGCTCACCTCCTGTGGACATGTCTTTTGCGGTGATTGTGTTGGTGTAGAAAAAGGAGGTAAAAAAGGTTTATTTTATGGGAATAAGGGTATTTCCGGAATTGAATATTTTGTGGTTTTTCCATAAAATATAAAATAACTGAAGACATTTCTGGAAAGTGTTTTTAATTAAAACATTTTACGGAAATTGAGAGGAACGAAAAAATTTTGGAAAATTATTTAACACCTAGAATCTTCCAGAAAATTGTTTGATAGGTAGAAAAAACGGAGGGATAACGGAGTAGAAAAAAAACGGAGTAGTTTTTCAAGGTCCTGTAATTTCCGGAAATTTATGCATTTTAGTACGAGGGCAGGTATGTTGGGGTACATTGTTATAGGCTTGCTTTGCGATTCAGCAAGTGTGAAAAAAACCTGTCGTGTTCGGAGTGCATGCTACTTTTATTTATATTAATCTAATCTTTACACAGATTTAGCTCTTCTAATTAATCCTACTCGTTCCATCTTTTGTTTTGCTTGCCAACACAACGTCAAAGCCGTTCAAATTCGACGTGGAATGGACAACAATGCTGCTATGCTTTTTCGGCCGCCTAACGAAATGTTACAAAAAATGAGTCAGGAATTGTTCAAAATTGGAGAAATTGTTAAATTTCAAGCGTGGCAGTCATCAAGTTTTCAGCGACTTCGAAAGGTTGAGGAAGATTTTTGAAAAATTTTTTTTGTAAAATAAATTATTTTTAGGATGCTTCTTATGAAAATTATTACAAACAATTGCTTTACAAAAATAGGGATATTATTGCAGCGAAACAGCGTGAATTGGAGAAGGCTAACAGGGAGATTCAGCAAATGGCTGCTTTGTAAATTAAATTTTTTTCTTTTATTAAAAAAATTTTTTTAGTTAAAAAATTGTTCAAAAATTAGAAAAAAATTTTTCGAATTGTCAAAAATTTTCAAAAAAAAATTTCAAAAAAATTTTTTTCAGACTTGAGGACCATAAAAAGGAAATTCGTCAATTAAAGAATAACGCAACTATTTGTATTATGTCCGATAGCTCTATTATGATGCCGCCTCCAATTAAACGCCAGAAATACCCAACATTGAATGGACCTTCTCCTTTTAGTACGCCTCTTTCTTTTTGTGATTGCAAGACTAGCACTCCGGTAAAATTTTTTGTTAGTTTTGTTTAAACCAGGGCTCTCATTCGTACTTTATTTGAAAGTACAGTACTTTAAAATCGACCTCCGTACTTACAAAATTGAATTTGTACTTTATTGAAAGTATGTACTTTAAAATCAACATTTTAGATTGAAAATGAAATTGGGGAAGGGATTGGGCAAAAAAGTGAATTTTTTTGGCCTACGGCATTCGAAATTCTCAAAATTTTCGCCTGCGGCGCTGAAAAAGGAAGAAATCTGGCTTCTTGGGCTCCAAATTTCAAAAAATTTTCGCCTGCGGTGCTGAAAAAGTGAATTTTTTTGCCTACGGCCTTCTAAAATTTTAAAAATTTTCGCCTGCGGCGCTAAAAATGGAAATAATCTGGCTTCTTGAGCTCTAAAATTCTCAAAATTTTCGCCTGCGGCGCTGAAAAATGACGAAAGAAAGTAGCTTGTTTGAGGTTGACTGTCAGGGCTTTATTTCTTGTGTCAGCGAATTTTGACATGTCATGCATTGAAATGCACAAAATGCTCAGTGGAAACAAGAAATTATTAGAAAAGATTCATTTAGGAGAGAAATATAAAAATTTAAGCACGAATAAATATGTATTTTCTAATTTAATTTTGAGTGTACTTTAAATGTGGAAATTTTGTCCCTATGTACTTTAAAATCAAGATTTTTGTACTTTTGATTGGTATTTTGTCGATGAGAGCCCTGGTTTAAACATATTCTGGGGGGTTTCCGGAAAATACAAAAAATTTAATATAAATGTTTTTTGGTTTGGGTTAAGCTTTCCGGAACGGGACACGCCCACATTGTCGCCGAGCCATAACTTGCTAAAAAATTTCTGGCCCTTATCAATTTGGTACCAAACTCTTTAGCTCGATGAGAGGAATCGTTTAATACTAAATTTGGAAAGATTAGGAAACCTTGAAGCAAGTTATGGCTCGGCGACAATGTGGCCGCGCGGCAAAGTGGGCCGTACCCTTCCGGAACATCATGTATTTTTGTATTTTTTATTTAACTGATTAAAATTCTGATTCTTCCGGAAAATATGTTTGTGTTTTTCAAACATGTTCTGTTAATATTCTAGTCTGTATTTTCTTTCTAATAAAATTCTGATTTTTCCGGAAAATTCTTGTATTTTTCTTTAATTAATAAATAATTCTGATTTTTCCGGAAATTGATATTTTGTATTTTCCGGAAAGCATTTTTGTATTTTCTCTGTAAATAAAGTTTGTGTTTTCCGGAAATTAAAGTTTCGTATTTTCCGGAAAATGCTTGTATTTTCTTTTTAATAATTCTGTGTTTTCCGGAAAACATTTTTTGTATTTTCTCAAAACATTTACTGGTTTTCCGGAAAAGTATTATTTACAAATTATTTGTATTTTCCGGAAACCAAATTCTGATTTTTTCCTCTTTTTAGATTATGAGTGACTACCTTCCGTCTAATACAAATATGCTGCCTTCTTTTTGTTCAACGCTTGCTCGTTCAAATTCGAACAATAACAACAGCAACAATATTCTCCAATTATTGACTCCTCGGAGAGCGTTAGAGGAGAGTATGTTGGCTGGTAGAGTGCAGTTGCCAGGGTAAATTTTTTTTTTAATTTTTTTGGAATTTTTAAAAAATTTTTTAAGAACTCCTCTTATGATTTGGAACAATAAATAAATTTTTTGTTAAATGAAAAATTGAAAAAAAAATTTTATGTTGTAATTTGAGCAAATTTATTGTAGTTTTCCAAAATTTTTTCTCATTGTTGCCATATTTTTTTTGTAATTTTTGGTGCTTTCAAAATTATTTAAATGATCTTGTGATATTTCACCTATTTATTTCTCTTGTGCTTTAAATTATTGAAAAAAATTTTTTTTAGTTAAGAAGTCTTTAAATTCGAGAACCTAAAAATAGGGTTTAAATACCTTTGTGATGGGGGTATTCTTTAGTTTCTAGAGACTTCCAAGACCGAAAATTTTTCAAGACCAAGACTAAACCCCAAGACTAGACCGAAAAAAACCAAGAAAAGTCAAGACTCAAGACCAAGAGCCTTGGAAGTCTCTATTAGCTTCCTTTTCAAAAATAAATAAAAATACGAAAGTTTGGCAAAATGTTTTTTTGTTTTCCTTTGGGCAAATCTTTCAATTAGGAAAATCTTTTGTTTTTATTTTCCGACTTTTATTGATTGAGGGTCATTCATTGATTTTTCTTAGGTCTCCCACTCCTAATTATTCAAAGTTTGTGAACCTTTTGATTTGTTTAGATACAAAGTTCGTAACCTAGTAAGAGGGACTCTCAACTTTTAATTTCACTTTTGCCAAACTATACATTTTCTAACTTTTGCATCTGAAATTTAGATTTACTTTATTCTTATTCAATTGAGAAGAAAATGAATTTGAACAACGCAACTTCCCTCACTCGGTCAACAACAACATTTGGTTCTGCAACAACAAACTACCAACACCAAACAAACAACTGTTCCTCTCAATCGTCGGGAAGAGCAAAATGAAGGACAAGAAGAATTGGAACTTGCTAGCCAGCCCAAGGTTTTTGATTTTGTTTTTTTTTCATCAATGGGTCTTGTGATAGTTTCGTATGTTTCGGGCCTCGCTCCTGAAATATTTTTCGACTTTTGAGGGTCAGATTAAAATTTCTGTTTTGTTCTTTACGCCACCCTGATTGAGAGTAATTGAAACTAGATTCATATTGCCTCAGGGTTCTGTGTGAAGAAACTCAAGGTTCTTTGATTTGTACGTCCGTTTTTTTAAAATGACTTGGGAGAAACAGTTCTTCTTTTTTCTTTTTGGAATCTCCTCTTAATAAGTTTTATTTTTAAGATGATAGTCATCTTATTGGTGGGACAAAATGTCCAGCAGAGTTTTGAAGGTTTTTTATTTTTAAGTATTTTTTTATTCTGCTGCTTTTATAGGTCTTTGATGACGTCCTGATGGTGATGCTTCATTTCTGATGGCGATGCTTCATGCCTGGTGCACCTTTAACATGGCCTGTAGGTATAAGTTTATGGTTGGCCTGTTCCAGTGATGGATGGATGGCCTGTTGCTGCTCTCAATGACTTCTTTGCTGCTGATTGGTTTGAGCACGGACGTTGGCATAGGATGGTTTTTAGTTTTTTTAATAACACAAGGGTTTATCCGGAAAATTATGGGGGCTGGGAATGAAAAATGCCAAAAAGCAGAATTTCCTCTTTTCAGCGCCACCGGTAAAAATTTTGGAAAATTTTCATTTTTAACCATTCCCTCCCAACATTATTTTTCTTTCTCCTTTTCTGGGGAGGTGGTAGTCCCATTAGCAACCTACTGGATAAGCTCTTGTTTAATAGAGTTGCTCAAAAATAGGTTTAAAACCTTAACCTGGTTTTGGATTTTTGAAAAATTTGGGGAGGGTGTTTTAAAGAAATCTTGATTTTTTTAATTTTTTTTTGATTTTTTTTTTGATTCATTTTCTTTTAAAAATTGAGCAACTCTAGAATTTTTTTTAAATTTTATTGATTCCAATTTATTTTATTTTTTTTGTCCCCAAAATAAGAATTGGTGCAAGGTAGAAGGAGATACCATCGTGTATCTCCTTTAAGTGTAGAGAGGGATGCCTTAGTGCATTTCTTTCCAAGAGGTACAGGTGGGATGCCCACACCTCTTGTCAACGATGATTAATGCCCCACACGAAGTTGTGTCTCGTTTTTAGCAATGGGCTCTTTGTGTGGGACCACTTAATCAAGAGTCTTGAGCACCCACTAATAATATTATAAAAAAATAATTGTATTTGTATTTACACCCCTCATTTTTATTTATTTAAATTTTAAAAATTATGTGTTATATATTATTCAGTAGTTAGTGAACCTCTGAATTGTCGCGGGAGGGGGGGGGGAAGTATTGGGTCCAATCATCTACTAAAGTAGTTACGTGCAAGGAAATTTTTAAAATATTTTTGTAGTAAAATACAATTCAAATTTTATTTTTACCTGTATATTTTTTATTTTTTGACTGTTACAATTTTTTAAATTTTGAAATCCTTTTTTGCTTATTTTATTCGAGAAGACATTAAAAGCACGTTTATTTATTTTTAAATTTATTTTTTTTGTTTATGCTCAATCCTTTTAATCTTTTTTTATTGGGTCTACTACATATCATTCACTATCAAGCTTCAACGATTTATTCTTAAATCTGTGATTCATTTTTTAAATTTCTCATATAAATTTAAAGCTAAAAATTTGTCAAAAATGTCAATTCATTTCATTTAAAATCAACCCATTCATTTGGTCCTACTTTACTGGAATTTTGATCCTCTCCACTGCTACTTCCAGTACTCGATCTCGTCGGGCTATGCTCACGAAGTACATCACCCAATGACCTTGAATTTGACGAATTTTGTTATCCGAAGATTATTTACCTATAAACTTTATATGGCACATTGCCGCGAAGGTAAATGCTCGTTGCGAGGTCAACATCATATTGTTTAACTAAATCACCCAATTCCTCACTACATTCCAATTTGCCTTCAGAAATCCATTTTTCAACAAGTTGCTTCTTACCCTAAGAAAGGATGGATTCGAAGATGTTTAAATTAGGGTTGTTGGCGAACGGTTATTAACCGGTACCCCCGGTTTTCGGTTAATCTAAATTTTAGAAACCCGGTTTTCGGTTTTGAGTTTTAGGCAAATTCCGGTTTTATTTTGAGGGTATTTTTAATAAAATCACTCATTTTCACAAATTCCCGGTTTTCGGTTTTTAAAATTTTCTAAAAACGGTTAATTTTTGGCAAAAAATTTCAAAAATCCCGGTTTTAAAACCGGTCGCCAACAACCCTAGTTTAAGTACCAACCTGAACCAAAACAGGTCGACACAATTCCAACGACTCGTATTTATTTAAAGAACCTTGTTCTAACAATGCAGTGAAATAGATAACAAGAGAATGAGTAGCCTTTGCTGATGGAGTAGCTTCTTTTAATTTTTGTAACGTCTGTGGGGTTCTAAGAATATTTTTTGGTGCCGTTGCGGCCAATTTTGCAGCTTCATGATAATCCCCGTTTTTGATCAATAAATCAAATTTGCGCACAACATCATCATCAGAAATGTTGCAACGAGAAGCTGATTCGACAACCTCATTAACATTTTCATCCTCTTCGCTGCTACTTTCAGTTCTTGACGTCGTCGGAATCTTGCAACGAGAAGCTGATTTGACTACCTCATCAACATTTTTATCCTCTTCGCTGCTACTTTCGGTCCTCCACGGCATCGGTATCGGTTTAGCAGCCGCGTCATCCATTGACTCCGAAGCAAGTTTGAGACGAGATGATAATTTGAGAGCCAAATCCGGGTTTTGTAACTTTTGAGTGACGTAAGGAATAATGGTTTTCTTGTCCAAACAAACAGAGAAGACCTTAAATATAAGCATGATTAGACAAAAACCTTTCCACGAAACCGTTCCATATTCAGTAATTGCAAGAAAACCATTATTAAAAGTGTGTCTAGTTGTAATGAAAATAGGATCAGTCGAAATTCTTACTGTGTATATCGAACAGCCTGTTTCAATTTCGAACACTTGAACATGACCATGATTGGTAATCATGTACAGTATTCCATACGTTGAAGACGCCTAAAAATCAGTAAAGCGAGGTTAGACAATTCTAAAAGGCAATGTCAGAGACAAATTTATGGCAATGTCCGTGATTAAAATCGATGACTTCTAAAAAAGGTTTTTGATATTCGTACCAAAATTAATATGTACTCTGTACGAGGGCGAGTAAGATAAACATTGGGGTCATTTTGCGGGTCATCTTTCCACTTTTCTTTATAAAATTACGTAAAAAATTAATTTATCTGAGGACGTTTTATAGATAACATCCATTTTTATTTAATAAAAAAGTATTCTCTCCATATGTCAAATCATACTATGTATATACAAACCTGCATTGAGAGAGGAAAACTATCTGGAGAACCATCCGAATAAACGAAATCAAAAGACTTCTTTGTGTATTTTCTATTTGCAGCATCAGTTTCGAGTTCTTTAATGGTCAACTAAAGATAAAAACTAATAAATGAATTTCTATCCCTTCAAATAACCTTTCCTTTTTTAGCCGATTTACGTAGAGAATAACAAATGAGATCACTTGTAAATGGATTCCCTTCCATTTTGAATTTGGCAAAACAAGCAGCATGAGCGTCAATTAGTTGAGTGTTGTAGGCTTTCCCTGCTTTATGTAGTGCCAAATACCCATAAGTTCCAACTTTTGATTTTTCAACTCCAACAAGCAAAAAATAATATCCAGCAGAATCAGGTCGATAGTCAGTTATTATAAGTAATTTAGATCTCAAACCTAAATGTCGGTGAAATACTTTGTATTCAACATTATCTTAAAAAACATATAACATTAAATTCAAATAATAAACCATCAAGATTCCAATGGTGAACCCAAGTCTTTGTCACGAATCCAATGGTATTTGAGTTAATCCATGTCCAAAAATCAACTTTTCTTTTTACTGTACAAGATTTTATTGGGATATTTCGCTCCAAATCATATATTGCAAGTTTATTACCAATGGCTAAAATGAAAGAAGGATTATTAAAAAAAAGAATATTTACTTTCAAAAGCCAAAATTCTCCGAGTTGGATGCATTATAACAGACAATACTTCAACACTAGAAGGTATTCTTTCAACAACATTAGGGTTCGCAACATTTACAATAACTACTTCGTTCTTCTCCCTGGCAGTAATGTACTTGTCAGATTCCATTCTTACAGATTCACGTTTGAACTCATTCAAATTGATTCCAATATTTTTTAACTAAAAGAGAGAAATCAACGAGAGAAATAAATCCGAGAGAGTACGCAGAAACTTACTGAAAAGAGTTCCTTAGAACGTATAGGTGCCAAATCCTTCATATTATTTTGAACCTAAAAGGAAAAAAATTTTTCAGAACAAGTGGAATAGTTAAAGGGAATATCTAAAAACATTTTAAGCTGTAAAAATGTAGAAAAATGTAAGAATGATTCATCTGGCAATATTTAAATCGAATAGGCTGGATAGTGTTGAATATGAAGGGGTTAATGATTTGTAAGGAAGATAAAAGAAAAATAAAGTTGTCGCTTCATCGATGGGTAGGGGAACGATTCACTTTACACATAATAAATACAATTTTTTATTAGCATATTTTGTGCTCTTTTGTCTATTGTTCCCATATTTTTTCTTTTTAATTTTGAAATATTTTGCCGGGACACGCCCAAGTAACGCCAAGTAAGGCGCGCGGAAGGCGCAAAGCCCCATAACTACCATGAAAATTTCTGACCCTTATCAATAGGGCTGGGAAAAATATGCACGCAAAACCGCCAAATATGCGCATATATATGCACCGAAAAACCCCAAAATATGCACCAAAATATGCAAAATTTGCTAAAATATGCACTAAATATGCAGCAAAAAATGGCTAAAATTGGTTTTAAAAATCAATTTTTTAAGTAGAAAACACTATTCGAGCCTTTAAAATTGCAATTTAAGATCATCTCAATGAGATTTTATGAACTTTAAATTTTCGCAAAAAAAAATTAAAAAAAATTTTTTTCTCAAAAAATTTTTAGAAAAATTTTTTTCAAAAGATTTTTCTAAAAAATTTTTTTGACAAAAAAATCCAAAATTTTTCAAATTTTGACCAATTTTACTAAAATTTACCAGATTATGCCGAAATATGGAGCAAAATATGCAAAATTTGCCAAAATATGCATCGATATGCAAATATGCACGAGAGGGCCGAAATATGCAAATATATGCATTAAGAACCGGGTCCTAAAGTGCTCAGACCAATGTAAAAATACCATTTTTGAGCTTCTCTCATCAAGGCATATCCGCATACAAAACATGCATTTGCATGTTTTTCCCAGCCCTACTTATCAATTTTGGCACTAATCGCTTTAGCTCGATGAGAGGAATCGTTTAATACTGAATTTGATAAGATATGGAAATTTTGAAGCAAGTTACGGCTTTGTGCCTACTTGGCCGCGCACGCTGCACCCTCTTTTTCTGCCTATTTTTAATTAAAAATTTAAGATGGAGAATGAAATTGGCGCGTTTATATTTATTTTTAAAATTTATTTTTGTGTTTTAATTGAGTACAATTTTTGTAAAAAATTTTGTATTATAATAATCAACAAGCATAGAAAAATAATAATAGATTATTTTAAAAGAAGTTGGTGGATCTATCCAGAAGAAAAGTTAAAATAAAATTTTTTGTATTTCTGATTTTTCCGGAAAACACATTTAAGAGCTGTCGAGAAAAGGCAGTGACTTGCGCTGATTTTGCTCTGATTTTGTTGATTTTTTATGTTTTTATTTTTTATGTCTTCTGGGTAGACTCAAAAAAATTTTTTAAATAGAATACAATTTTAATTAATGTTCATTTTTTATATTTCTTTAAACTTAATATGCAAAATTTAATTTCTTAAATTCCTCCATTTTCATTTTGAACAACCGGTGTGTGTTTTGTATTTTACCAATCCACTTTTTATCATTTTGTGTGTGGCTGTAGCTAATTTTGGAAAGATGACTAGAAGGGGAAGTAGAAAAATTGAAGAAAAATAAGGATGGAAAATTTAGAAAATTTAGAAAAAATAATGAAAAATGAAGGGGATTCGAAAAAATCCGATAGGGAAAATAGAGACAGATTTTTTGAAAAATTTTGAAAATTTTTAAAAAAGAGGGGGAAATACACTGGCGAGTAAATAAAAAATAATTATAATTAAACCGAGAAAATGCATTAAAAAAATAAAATTAAATTATAAATGCAAATTAAAATAATATAATTAGGACGGGATTTAAAAAATATTTGAAAATGCTGTGTAAATAGAATAAAATACATTTTTATTTTAGGCACCGTTAAGAATATTTTGTGGTGAGAGAATTGTGTTTATTTGAAAAAACACAAGGAGAATAAATGTATTAACTGATTTCTGATTTTTTAATTATGTTTTTTCTTGCTAAATTATAAATTCTGATTTTTAAACAAATCAGAATTTTTTTTAATAAATCAATTAATATCAGAATTATTTTTCAGAATTAAAACCAGAATTATTTTTCAGAATTATTATCAGAACATTGTTTTTTATTAAATTCTGATTTAATATCAGAAATCAGAATTTACATTCATTTAATTTAGGTTTAATTCAGAGAAGAAATTTATATAAGGCGAGTAGTTGATTATTTTCATTGAGAATTTTGAGTAAAAATAAAAATAAGTAAAAATGCTTCGTTGAACAATAATAAATGGAAAAATAGGGGGTTAATTTAAAAACTAATAATATTTAAATAAAAAATATTTTTTTATTTTTTGCGTAATTTTTGGCGTCGATTACAAAACCAAACACGTACAACCTGTAAAATAAAATTTTTATTTTGTTAAATTTTTTTAAATTTTTACGTCGTGATCCAAATCTAGTAAAGTTGCAATTTCAACCATTCGGGCATTGTCTGGACGTCTGAAATTTTTTTGAATTTAATTTTTAATTTTTTCTGTATTTAATTTAAGTCTGGAAGAGGGCTGGGGGGTTGAGGTTGAGTGAAGATAGGTGTGGGAAATTAGAGGATTTAATGCTGAGTAGGGGATGAAGGTTAAGTATTAACAGGTGAGGAATTTAGGAGATTATCAGAATTTTATATCAAAACTTACGGATCAATTCTGAAAAAGGTATCCAAAGACAATTTTTGTGCTGTATCCAAATTTGTACGTTTCCTTCGTTTTTTGAAAGGTGGCAAAAGAATTTTGGACTGAACAGATTCGTTGTTGTTGTTATTTACAATTGTTGAAAAGGCGTTCATTTTTTCATTATTCTCCTTTGTTATTTGATTTTGTTGTTGGTGATGATGATTTTCACCTTCTTCTATTGGCGAGATTGATAAAATATTGGCAGTGCAGTCTTGCTATAAAAATAAAAAAATAATTTCTTTAAATTGTTAATGTCTGTGCGCAAAAAATATTAAGGTGAGGTATAAACGCAAAGTTTTGTGTTCTGAAAATTTTTTTTCCTTGCCAAAAAAGTTTTGCGCACAGACAAAATTTTTTTCAAAATTTAATTACTTTTATTTTTTATTAATGTGTCTGAAGTTGAGAGAATATTTTAAGATGAATAGATAGATGTAAAAAATAGCAAAGCGAGGGAGGGATTTTGAAAAAGTTTTAATCCGTATCAGTAAATGCACTAAAAGCTACTGCTGCAGAAAATAAAGAAATTATTCCCTCAGAATTATTATTGTCATTTTCTTCCTCGGAATGATGATTATTTTTCCATTCTTGTCTATTCCATTCATCTAAAAATTTTGCAGATTAAGTGAAGTTGTGTGAGAATAGCAGAGGTGTGCCGTTTCGCATTTCGTTTTTAAACGACTTTCGCGTTTCGACTTTCGATTTTTAAAATCAGGTTCGGCACACCCCTGGCAAACACCACGAACCGTTAACGGCCTCAGAATGTCCATAAACAGGCGAAAACTCCAAATTCCCTATAAGTTCATGCCAATCAGTCCCAGAAGACCATTTTGTATTATTCCACCAGTCCCCGTTCCAAAAAGTTTTTATTCGATCAGCAAAACCCAAATCAATTTGTATTGGGCGTTCTTGACAATTCCATTGCTGGTTATTCCAATAATTAAAAAACGGATCGTCTATAGCTATTGGATTTATTTGAAAACATTCTGAGACGATACATTCTTCTTCCTCCTCATCTTCAAAATGAAGCAAAGTTTCGAGTGGATGAGAAGAGGATTGAGGTTGTTCTTCATTTTTATCAATTTGATTTTCTTCATCTTTCGCTTCCTTTTCGTCTTCTTCATTTTGATCTGCAACTCTTCTTCCTCCCTCTTCCATTTCATCTTTAGCTACGTCCTCTTCGACTTTTTCCTCTTCAATTTCCTCGTCTCCACCCTTTTGTGTATCTTCATTCTCTCCCTTTCCATCTTCTTCCTTCTCTTCATCTCTTCCCACTTTCTCTTCTTCATCTTCTCCTTTCTCCTCCTCTTCATTTGATTTTATCATTTTTCTTCTTTTACTATTTTTAGTTTCCTTCAATGAAAATAAAGGACGGAAGCAACAAACAAAAGAAAACAATGTTCTAATCCGTTGACTTAAAAAATATTTTCTCTTTAACTTTTGAGAATGCTGGGAAGGAAGAGACCGGACAATTTTATTGCAGATCAAACAATTATTGTTGTGTTGTTTATTATTTTGATTGTTGTCATCAATGTAGGGGAAGCATTTAATACGATTTAAAAAATCATTGGAGTAATTGTTGAGATGAGGGGAGGATAATATAGACATTTTGGGGGATAAAGAATAAATGGAAGAAAATAGAGGAAGACGGGAAGAAGAAGAAGGAAGGGTGGGGGAATGAATAGAAGACAATGGAAGAAGAGGGGGAAGAGGAAGGGGAAGAAGAGGATGAATAGGAAGAGTAAAAGGAAGAGGAAGAGAATAGATTGGAGGAAGGGGAAGAGGGGGAAGTGAAGGCAACTTCGACTCAAATTCAATTTTTGTTTGAGTAGTCATTGAAGAAATAGGTGGTAAAAATGGTCTTCTTCTTGAAAGAGAAGAAATAGAAAAAGTTTTTTGGTTGGCCAAATTGATTTGATCATCACGTAATAAATGCAACAATTTAGTAGAAGAATTGACAACAACAACAACCTGTTTTGGGAGTAAGGGAAAATTAGAATCGGGAGCAAATTTATATTTAAATATATGTACTATTTGTTTAATTTAGTGTTAAAAAAGGATTGAAACATGTGTCCCAATTCTAATAGTATAAATTATAAATTGAAATTGGTGAACAAGTTAAGACAAAGTTTATGGGTTAGAGAAAGTTTAGAAAAAGACTAGAATAGAGAGCAGTAAAGAAAATCCGGAAGGATATTTTTCCGGAAAGATATTTTGATGAGAAAAATACATTCCGGAATAATACATATTAGAAACAAGAATTTCCGGAAAAGGTGGAAAAATACAGAATTAAATATTTATAGAAAATACATTCCGGAAGGATGCATATCAGAAAATAATTTCCGGAAAAAATGGAAAACACAAAAGATAGTTGTAGTCTTATACAAAATACATTCCGGAAAAATACGGAGATATAATAGAATTTAAATTTGTATTTTTTTTATCAAATTTTATGTTTAACACAATAAATGTCTACCTGTTCAAACATTTGAGGGAATCCATCAGTACTTGATGAAACTACATTAGAATTTAAAGAGGAAGAAGCCGATTTTGATGAAAGCATTGTCACTCGTTGTATTGCCACACCTTCCATAATATCTTGAACACTAGCACCTGCAGTTATTAGACGATCAGTTTCGTGTAACCAATCTTCTAGAAGAGGGCGTAATTTGCACATATTTTTGTAGGAAAGATTGAGTGCTTCAAAGCGGGAAATGGCTAAAAGAACAAATTAGGAAAATTCAACAAATTGTTTAATCACTTGTTTGTGAAAAATCTGTGCCATATCGTTTACCGAGTGCAACACCAACATCGCCTTGTGTAAAACCATGCTTAATTCTTTGCTTCTTAAAACAATTGGAAAATTCAGCCAATTCGTCCAATTCTTCTATACGCTCGATTCCATCACGATCTTGAAGAAGAAGGGCACCTAACGATTTTTCGCTTTTAACAGTCAATGCACCAGTAACAGAAGGAATATTTAAAGCAGAGCAAGTAGTAGGAATTTTTTGAATATTTGAAGAATTTTTTGAAATTTTTTTGAGTCGTTTTTGTTGGTGTTTTTGTTGTTGATTAACAGATAACATGTTAAGTCCATTCTCATTTTTATATTCTTCTCTATTTTCCTCTTTTTCTTCATTGTTCATTTGGCACTCATTATTCTCCTCTTTATTTTCTTTCCAACAAATGTTGTTATTGTTGTTAATGTTTTGTTGTTGCTCAAACATTTGTTTTAAAAATTCTTGTTGTTGTTGTTCGTCACAATTAAAGAGAGGCAGAAAACCTAGAGATAATGGTGAGGAAAGTTGGTTGTTTTGTTGGATGTTTTGTTGAATGTTTTGATGTTCGGTGTTTTGTTGAATGTTTGTTTGAATGTTTTGTTGTTGTCCAAACAATTGAGAAATTAGTGTTGTAATTAATTGTTGTTGTTCATTAAAAGTTGTTGTTTGGTTGTTGTTATTAAACAAAACATCGTTGTTGTTATGTTTTTCAATGTTTGTTTGTTCAGAATTAAATGTGTGTTGCTGAGGTAAAATTTGTTGTGTTTCATTAACGTTTTGTTGGTGTTTTTTGTTGGAGTTTGTTTTATCTTTATTATTCCGTTTATGTTTGGATTCTGACAATGTTTTTGTTGACGTTTGCGTTGATATTGGGTGGTTGTTGATATCGACGGGAGTGGTATATTGAGAGGGCAATACTGGAATATTTTAAAATTAACTAGAGATTTATTTTATTTTTAAATACAAATTTTTGTATAAAATTGCAAAAGTATATTAAATGTATTCCAAAATAAATATAATAAAAATTTATCGAACCGCGCAAAATTATAGTGTCTTTTTTGCTTGATTGAATCGTAGGGAGAGCAATTTTACTCTCTTTTACAATTTAATCACTTTATTCCCCTTTTCAATTTTCGCATGTTTTTGTATTTTCTGTGCGCAAGAAATTTAAGAAGAAGTATGTACTAAAATCGAAATAACAACAAAAACTATTGCGCACATTAGAGGAACGGAAATCAGAGCAGCAATTAAATCGGATACTATTCTTAATTGGGAAGTGTGTTTTAGAATATTTATTTTAGTTAGCAAATGTTTTACTCTGTTGTGTTTTATATAAAAATTCTGAAATGCACAAAAACATCAAACAAAACATGTTGTCTAAAACAAACATTTTACCTGTGTTTGGAAGAGTTTCAGAAGAAAATGTTTGTTGATTATTTTGTTGTTGTTGTAATAATTGCCAACATTGAAAAGCTGCAAACATTTCTACTAATTGAGGAAAACTTTCTCCTACAGAGGTATTATTTGTTGTTATTCGTTGAAGGCAATCAGTGAAAAAATTGGAGGGAAGAGTTTGTTGGTTGTTTTGATTGAAAAAATTTTCGAAGAGTGGAATAAATGAATTTTGTTGTTGAGGGAAACTGCTAAAATAATTTGTTTTTATTAAATTCTGATTTTTGTTTTTATAAAATTCTGATTTTTGTTTTTACTAATTCTGGTTTTTTTATTAAATTCTGATTTTTGTTTTTATTAAATTCTGATTTTTGTTTTTATTAAATTCTGATTTTTGTTTTTATTAAATTCTGATTTTTGTTTTTATTAAATTCTGATTTTTGTTTTTATTAAATTCTGATTTCTGTTTTTATTAAATTCTGATTTTTGTTTTTATTAAATTCTGATTTTTGTTTTTACAAACTCTGATTTCGTTTTTATTAAATTCTGATTTTTGTTTTTATTAAATTCTGATTTTTGTTTTTCTAAATTCTGGTATTTAAATGTTTTTATTAAATTCTGATTTCTGTTTTTATTAAATTCTGATTTTTGTTTTTATTAAATTCTGATTTTTGTTTTTACAAACTCTGATTTCGTTTTTATTAAATTCTGATTTTTGTTTTTATTAAATTCTGATTTTTGTTTTTCTAAATTCTGGTATTTAAATGTTTTTATTAAATTCTGATTTTAATTAAAATCAAACTGACCAGTTCAACCCTTGTTCATTGTTGTTTATTAATTCGTTGTTATTATCTTTTATTTCTCGCTTAATTTGTTCTGACAACACTTCATTATCACCTCCTCCATCATTATCCATAAAAATACCAGAATCATTATTTGTATAATTATTATTAAAAGAAAATTGTTGTAATGTTTGCCAAAATTGTTTTTGTTGTTCTTCTCCTCCAACAATAAAATTAAAATTATTATTTAATGAGGAAATAATGTTTTGTGTTAATTCTGGTTGTTGTTGGGGAGTAAAGTGTTGTTGATGCTGGTCTTTTCCTTGTTGGACAAATTGTTGTGTTAATCCACCAAGGATGTTATAAGCTTGATCTCCAACCTTTAGTGAATTTTTAAATATTAAAATGTCAAAAAATCAAAATTGTAAAAATGTCAAAAATCAGAAAAAACTCACCTCTTTACACATTTGTTCCAACACCATTTTCCCCAATTCCTCTACACTAATAGAATCGAAAGGATTCGGTATATTGCTAGCAGAAGAAGCTGAAGCACCTAAAGAAAGTAGTTGTTGTAATCCACTAGTAAATAATTCTGCTAATTGCTGACAGAATTGTTGTTGAGAAGATATTGATGTTGTTTTTGTTTGTTGTTGTTGTTGAGTGTTTGTTTGGCGTGAATTCTTTGATGTTTTTGTATTTGTTCTGGTGTTTGTGTTTTTACAAGTTGTTTCTGGTTGGTTTAAAAAATCAAAAAGGGAATCGAACGAAGAAGAGGTGTTGTTTTTGTCTTCCTAAAAATAGAAGAAAAACATTGTGTTTTTGTATGTTTTGAAAAACTTGAAAGCTTAAATGTTTGTGAACATGTTGCGTTTAAATTATGAACATGTTTATATTAAATTCTGATTTTTCTATAGTTGTGGGCATGTTTATTTTTAATTCTGGTTTTTTTAATATTTTTCTGATCTACAATCTGTTAAGGGGTGAAATTAGGACGCTTCAAAACAGAATTATAATATAGCAATTTAAAACACACAATTTTCTTAAGATTTTTAATTTCAAAATATTTAAAAGGCAATTTAAAAAATTGTATGATTCATCTAAAAAATAATTTAAATATTAGGAAAGATGATGAGTAAGATGAATATATTTAAAGGTTTCGAGAAAAAAAATTCAAATAATTTTTTAAGATTAATGAGATTAAAAAAATTTCGGATGTGTGATTCTGTAAGAGAAAATAGAGAAAGAAGTATCTTTTAATTGAAAATAATTTTAAAAATATCCAAAAATAAATAGTATTAAATTTGTATGTGTGTGTTGGGAGAAAGCAAAAATTGAAAATTAAAAAAAATTGCAGAAATTTTAATTTTAACAAATTTAATACTTTTTTAGACGTATAAAAATGATTAATTTTTCTGCATAAAGGACGATAATAAAAACTTTTTCTTTATGTATTCAAAATTTATTTCTTTAGGTGACTAATAATTGAATTTTGATAACTAAAGTACAAAAATATCCTTAAGAAATATTAAACAAATTTTAATTGAAATCAGAATTTAATAAAAACAAAATCAGAATTTAATATGAACAAGGACAGAATCAAATAAATCAACCAGAATTTAATAGGAAAACAAAACCAGAATTTGTAAAAAATAAAGTCAGAATTTAATAGAAACAAAACCAGAATTTCATAAAATCAGAATTTATTAAAAACAAGGTTACCTGTTGTTTTTGGTCCAGTAAAGTTGTTTCAGAATTTTTCAAAGACGGAATCAGTTTTCCATTTCCACATTTAGTAGAAGCAAGTCTTCGTTTGTATTTAGGTTTTTGTTGATGCAAATTATTTGAGGAGCTTGGCTGTGAATCTTTTCCAATTAATGAGCAATCTAAAAATAATTAAAAATCAGAATCTTGCAAAAAAAAAGACGAAAATGTCTAGTTTTCATCGGTTTTTAGGGTTTTTAAGTCATAACTTCTGAAATAATTAATCAAAAATTCTGAAATTTTAATAGAAGGTAGTCAACGCTATTAGGGATGTCATACAAAATTTCATAAGGGTACGTCAAAATTTGACAGTTTTATTCTAAAATTATTGCAAGCAACCCAAAGAGAGTACTGTAATTAATAATAATATTGAGCAAGAAAAAATATTTTTTTCAAAAATATTTTTAAATAAAATCATTGCGCAGCATTAAAATTTTGGCAGAAAAAATAAAAACAAGCATTTTTCTAGTAAATAAAAAATAATTTTACTATTAGTCCACAAAATATGTATACACAATTTAATTGAATGTTTATAAAGCTGTCTGCTTTTCTGCTTTATAAATATTTTTATTTAAATAATTATTTGACGTTTTTTCTAGATATTTTAATGGTATTTTACATATTTGAATATTGTTATGGTAGACTGATAAAGGTGGAAATGGAATTTGGAATTTTTATTTTTGTAAATTAAAAAATCGCTATTTGAGTCTGGGAAGGTTTTAGTTTGGAAAGCATTCAGAATATGTTTTTAAAATAATTAAAATCAGAATTTTAACAAAACATGTTTTATTAAAATCAGAATTTTGACAAAACATGTTTTATTAAAAATCAGAATTTTAACAAAACATGTTTTATTAAAAATCAGAATTTTGACAAAACATGTTTTATTAAAATCAGAATTTTGACAAAACATGTTTTATTAAAAATCAGAATTTTAACAAAACATATTTTATTAAAATCAGAATTTTGACAAAACATGTTTTATTAAAAATCAGAATTTTAACAAAACATATTTTATTAAAATCAGAATTTTGACAAAACATGTTTTATTAAAATCAGAATTTTGACAAAACATGTTTTATTAAAAATCAGAATTTTAACAAAACATGTTTTATTAAAATCAGAATCTTAACAAAACATGTTTTATTAAAAATCAGAATTTTAACAAAACATGTTTTGTTAAAATCAGAATTTTAACAAAACAAGTACCAGAATTAAGTAGTGTTGTAACTTCTTGTGTAGAAGAAGAGGATTCTAAAACATTTTCAACTGTTTCCTCCTTGGATTCGTTTTTAATTTCAACATCTTTTTCTTCTTTTTTAATATTTTCTTCGTTAAAAATTAAATTTTGTTGAGTTTTTATTTCTGTATTTACAATTTCTTCCTCTTCTTCTCTTTTCGTTGTTTGAGGAATATTATTAAAATGAAAATTAAATTGTTGTTGTAATTGTTCTGTTGAGTTCTGAAAAAATGAAATGGTTAAATAAGTATGAAGGGTTTTTAACTGAAATATTATGTGAAGAAAATTATTTACCAAAAACGCCAAAATTGGCGCACAACATAACTTTTTAAATTATATGTTTTATTGTTTGTTTTGTTAATTCTTCTTGTTTTGTTCTTTTATTATTCTGATTTTTGTTTTTATTAAATTCTGATTGTGTTTTTACTAAGCTCTGATTTGTGTTTTTATTATATTCTGATTGTGTTTTTATTAAATTCTGATTTGTGTTTTTACTAAATTCTGATTTTTTTGTTTTTAATTCTCATTGCATTCACCTGTTTATCTCCATTATTCTCCTCTCCATCTGCTTCTTTAATATTTTCTTCTCTTTCCTCCTTTATAAACGAAGTTTTATTATTAACAAAACTTGAAGTAGTCATTTGTTGTTGTTCACTAGTTGAGGCAATCATTATATTGATAATTTTCGTTGTTTATTTTTTCAATTTAAAAAAATAATATTTATTAAATTATACTAAATATTGCTTTTAATCATTTGAGCATTAAAAAGGTCACTTTATTATTTTTTTAAAATGTTTTTGCTGAAAAATGTTTAAAAATTAGAAAATGTGCGCAAATGTTTGCGTTTTTTAGTGTTTGCTAATTTTCCAATTTTTTCTAATTTTCCCCTTTAATTTTGAAATAAAAATAAGATAAAAACTAAAAGAAAAATAATAAAAACAGTGGCGGTAATCTAAAAAGACACACAAAAATATATTTATGTAAATATAATTATTATTATTATAATATTATTTTTTGACTGGCAGCGGCAGAATGAAGTGTTTTAGTTAAAGGAGGAGGAAAAAGAAGGATTGATTGACTGACTGACTGGGCAATTCAAATTAGTAAATATGTGTGTGTATGTATATTTTTATTTATATTTATTCAACAATATATTATTTAGTAGTTCATAGTAATCAGTATTTGAAAATCTTTTTTTGTGGTCCGCCTGTGCGCCAAAATTTTTTTTGTAGAACGCAAAAAACGGATTATTTGTGAAAAGATGATTCAGGGTAGTCTTTTTCCTACTTCCGTCTATTTTGACCTTTTTGCGTCTTCTGCTTCTATCTTCTTTCACCTTTCGTCTTCGGTATCCCTGTTGCGCTTATGCCTATTCTGAACGTTCGAACGGATCACTAGAGTTTGATAGAAGGAACTGACACCTCAAAACGATCAGCTTTAAGTTGACGTTTCGTGTTTCGATATTGTTTCTTCATTTTTGCGTTATAAAATTTTTTGCGCACATTTAAACTTTTTAATGCATTATTCACTAAATGGGCTGTTGTTGGGCCTACTTTATTCCTTCTAATATTAAAATAATATACTCCTCCCACACGCGTGGCCTCGTCCCTCAAATCGGCGCTGTTTTTGTGTGTTTTTAATCGATCTGCGCGGTCCCTACAATGAAAAAAAAATAAAGAAGAAAAAAAATCGCCGAAAAATGCGCGCAAACATTTTTACATAATATTAAAAATATTATATAACCAACACCTGTGCGCAATCCTTGTTTTAATTTATTCTAACAAAAGTAGTTTTTTTTTGTGAATGGATTTAAGAGAAAGAGAATGAATATTAACTAAAGTTTGAGACAAGTTTTTAGAGAGGTGTGTTGAAACTTGAGGATTTTTGAGAAATTTGGTGATATGTTGAAATGTCGAAATTTCGCGAAAAGTTGAAATTTTGAATTTTTCTAATTTTTAAAATTTATACAAAAAAATTCCCAATAAATTCCCAACTTGTTTTTTTTAAATAAACGCGCGGAAGAAAACAACTGACGTGAGAAAAATAAAGAATATATCATAAAATAAATTATAAAATTATGCAATATGTGTACATACATAAATTGTGTTCAGTCATTAAATTAGGGAAAAACAAGTTAATTTAATAAATAATTGGAAATAATAAGCAAAAAAGATTTTTAGATGTTTAAAAAATTTTTTTTTGGTTTGAAATTTTTTTTTGTTTGAGAAAAAATTTTTTTTAAGAATGTCGAAATTTCGCGAAAAGACGAAATTTCGCGAAAAGTCGAAAAATTTTTTTTTGTTTTGAAAAAAATTTTTTTGTTGCTAGACTCTAATTACCCTCTAAAAATATACATATTTTTTTGTTATTAAAAATAATTTTTTTATTTTTGTTTTTCCTATTTATATTTTTGCTCCAAACGTGATCAACTGACTGACATTCATTTTGGCTAACTAAAATATATTTTGAAAAAATAAATTTTTTAAGCAAAAATATGTTGATGTGAAAAATATTCCTTTTCTCTTCCCCCCAAAAAAGAAAGTCACGTTCAGAAATATTTTTGTGTGTTTAAAAATAGAGGACAAAAAAATTTACATCAACTGAGAGAAAAAAAATGTGCGCGGAAATTTTGAAAGAATTTTGTTTAAAAAAAGTATTTATTTACATACAAAAATATTTAAATATACTAACGCCCAAAATGTTGAGTCTTAGACATTTTTTAAGGTAATTAATTGGAATATTATATTATTTCCGGAAAAGTTTAATGTGAAATATTATTAGAGTATTATAAACGGAATGATTAATTTGTATTTTTCCGGAAAACACAAAATAGTAGAATTATTTTTATAAGAAAATACATAAAGAATCATATTTTCCGGAAAACATTTTTAAGCAAAATTATTTTCCGGCGAATCAATTTTTCCGGAAAACACAATAGTATACCTAATTGTTATTTTTCCGGAAATAACTTCTACACAAAATTGCTTTCCGGAAAACACTGAATAGCAGAATTGTATTTTTGGAGAACTCATAATAAAATTAAATTATTTTTCCGGAAAATATTTTCCGGATTTATACATCTATAAAATAATTTTTCCGGCGTATTGCTTTCTTTCCGGAATGTAAGACCAAAAAAATGTGAACCTTGTAGATTTTAAAATTTATATTAAATTATCCCCTAAAGTAATTCCGGAAATAATTTTTTAATAAAAAAAGAGAAGGATATATCAACTAATATGCGTGTCACTAATAAAATTATAATGATAAAATAGGATAAGATAACTAAAAAAAATAAATTTATTATTTTGAATACTTATAAAAAAGGGAGAAGAAAATAAAAATATATTAGTGCAAGTAGAGAGAATGGAAGTAATAATAAAATAAAAGCTTCCATTTTTTCTGCTGTTTTTCCATCTGCTGTCGCGCGACCTTGCTTTTTTTTGGGAAGAAGGGGGGAGATTGCGCAAAAATTAACTCTATAAACTCGGTCAGTCATTTATAGAAGTATATTTTTATATTTAAAAATTGGAAAAAAAATTTGGTTGTGATAAAGAAAAAAAATTAGTAGTAGACACAAAAATGATAAAAATCGGTATAGTAAGGGGGAAAATAAATTTAATTAAATATAGGGGAAAATTAGTAGGGTTAAGGAAAATTTTTTTGAATAATGCGAAGGTTAAATGATTTAGAATCTTCATTAGAAATTAAAAAAATGCTTAAAAAGTTAAAAAAAATTTCAAAAATATTTTTATTTTTTAAAAATTATAGAATATGTACCAACGAAAGGGGTAACAACGAAAGGCGCGCGGCCATAACGGCGCAAAGCGATAACTTGCTTCAAGATTTCCAAATCTTTAACAAATTTGATATTAAACGATTCCTCTCATCGAGCTAAAAAAATTGGTATCAAAATTAATAATAGTCAGAAAATTTCCAGCTAGTTATGGCCTTGCGCCGTTATGGCCGCGCGCCTACTTAGGCGTGTCCCTAACGAAAGAGTCCATAAGAAATTATTGTGACTCTAATGTCCAATTAATTTATTAAAAGGATTAATTAACTATAAATTTAAAAAGGGAAGAGAATAAAAATAAATTTTATTTTTTTAAAAGAAGATGATGATAAAATAAAATTTTAAAAATAATAAATTAGTAAAAATATTTAGTTAAGTAAATAGAGAAAAATGCGTGTGCTAAATATAAAAATATGAATATTTACTATTTTTATTGGAAAAATTAGGACAATGAAGGAAACGAAGGGAAAAATAATTTTTTGTTGTGTAAAAAAATATAATTGATAGATTTTTTATTTACTCTAATTAAATAAATGAGTAGATAATTGTGAATAATCAACAGAAAAATACTAAATTAACATGAGTAGATTTATTATTTATAAATAGGCTTTCCGGAAAAAGTATAACTATGAAAATATAGGCATATTCTTTAGTTTTTAATTTTCCGGAAGCTTTTTCCGGAAAAAGTATAACTATGAAATATAAGAGTAGTTAACCAACAGGTTTCCGCACAAAGGGATGCCGCCTAACCGCAATTAATTATGATTTATGTTCGCGCACTAACCGCAACCTATTGACAGCTTTGCTGGGGGAGGGGTCCGCGCATCCTAATCCTATTGAGCGAGTGGGTGGTAGGAGGTGAATATCTTACAAATTGAGGGGAGGGGTTATCCTTATCCTTTTGAACTAGTGAGGGGTAGGTGGGGAAGGATTTTAAAAAAACGATTAGTGAGGGGGAGGGGGCAATGAAAAATTTTGAACTAATTACTGAGCGGGGGTAGGAAGGGGAGAATTTTATAAATTAGCGAAGGAGGGGTCCGGGCGAGCAAACCTTACCCTTTTGACCGAGTGGGTGGTAGGAGGAGGAAATTTTTACAAATTACTTAAATTATTGTTGTAATTTTTCTGATTTATTTCTTAAGATTCAATAATTGTTTTAACAAATTATTTTTTTCTTTTGTATGTAAGTGCAGTTGCTATCTTCTCACAACACCACATAGAGACGCAGATCAGTTGGTGATTCTGTTGTCAGTTTGCCCATGTAAATCCCAAATTCATTTCTCTGTCTTATACTAGTGAACACTGGTAGGACAAGACATTTGAGTCTGCGCTTATATAAAATTCAAAGTTCCTTGAGGATCTCGAACCTTACAACTCTTAAATATACTCTTTATCCAAACACTAGCTTTTCCGACTGAGCTACAAAGACATGCAATAGATTTTTCTTTCTAAACACCTTAACTCTAAGAATTTTTTATGGTACTCTTTTAATCTTTTTATACCAATTAAAACAAGGGGTAGATTAATTGACCGATTAGCATATACAAATTAGTTTTCCTTTTATCTTACCAATGATCAAAGTCGTGAGGGTAAGGGATACCCAAATTTTAAATAATTAATTAATTTGATGGATGATGGACAACAACAATAACCTAACCCATACGGTTCTCTTTAGAACCTTAAATTTAATGAGTGAAACGAGACATTGACTTTAGTTTCTTTTTTTTTTGTATAAACTTTTAAAATTTTTGTTTATTAATTTTTTAACATTTTTTTTAATTTGCAGTTTATTAATTTGCAATTTTTTCAGTGCGGAAAGTTAATCTTCATCTATTTTGGGAAGAGAGATTAGAGACGCAGAGTAGCAACGTGACTCTAATTCCTCTATTATTTGATATTGTCATTAAATTCATTTCTCTGCCATGTTTTAAAAAATGAGTTCTAACAAGTCAGTTGAGTCTATGATTCTTGAGTATGTTATTCTAATTTTACATAGAATCCAGGGGTATGTGAAAAAGCTATTATATCGAAGGGTAAAGTGTAGTCAATTCAAAGCGCAAGTGATGAGAGAGATAATGAGGAGAGAGATGATAATAATGTAAGGAGAGAGAGATAATGAATGATGGATGTGCTATAAATGATGGATGTGCTATATCTTCCATAAATACGAGAAATGTCAGAGACACAGAGTAGTCTGACTCTAATTCCTCTTTTATTATATATAAACATTAAATTTACTCTCTACCATGCTTTAGGAAATGAGTTCTAATTAGACAAATGAGTCTTAGATTGAGTCTTTATTCTAGATATTAAAGAGTAATATATTTAAATAATTTTATTATTTTGAATTAATTTCATTCGTTAAAATTAAATAATTTTATTAATAATTTTATTAATTAACAATTAAGTATTACAAATTTATTTTTCAATTTTAATTAATTTATTCAGCCTTTCTTTTTGTTCCGATTTTCTTATATGGTGCAAGAATATCAGTAGCTTTACAATTCGCATCGACGCACTTGTTACATAAATCAATCTTCAATGTAACACCCGAAGAATTTTCGCAAAATTTCTCTTGTGAATAAAATAGATTGTTTTGGCATTCTGAAACAATAATTAATATTTGAATACAATTCTAATTTTTTCTCACCTTGACAAAGGTAGAAGGTAATTAAAAATTTTCCACGTATAAGCTTCCAAAGTTGTTTTTTAACAAATGGTCCACAAACATTTGCTTCTTTAAGTATTTTTACATTATTTACATCCATTGGAGGATTACTAATCGTTGTTTCTTAAAAAAATTTTTTATGTGAACAATTATTTTATTAATATACCTAATGAGTTTTTAGCATTTGATTCTTTCGCCATTTCTAATTTTACTGGTTTTGTATCAGAAATTTCTTTGGATTGTTCACAATCGACATCTTTTGCAATAGAAACTTAAATATGTTTTTTTAAATAAATTATTTTCTCACCCGATGAACTATTCTGTGGCATATTTTAAATATTTAAAATATTAAATAAATATATATTGTAAGTTGGAAGCAATTTGTTTTAAATTAAGTAAAATGACCTTAAGTAATAAAAATGATTTTTACCTTAACATAAAAGAGGCGTGGCTTTTTATTGTAAACAATATCTTCAAAACCGGCTTAATTTTAAAGTTGGCTTGGCTTCATTTTTAAAAATAGAAACAATGAAAATGAAAGCGAATCTATGTTAGCGATTATTGACACATCGGAGCGAGACAAGGGTATATAAGTTCAAAGAATTTGAACAAAGGTAATTATTTCGCAAAAAAATTTAATAAAATGGCTCTAAATATGAACGACAAAGAATCTTTGATGTTACAAATTATTCCTGAGATTGATTTCAACCTCACAACCAATGGAATTACACTAACTAGCGAAAGAATTTCCACCCCTCGATTTATTCCTTTTGAACATGGTGGCCGCTGTCGAGAGTGTAAAAGCACTGAAGTTGAATTAGATTTTATTGTTACAAAAGAAGGGGTAACAATCTATTGTACTCGTTTATCGATACCTCGCTTCGTGCCTTTTGACTGTATTTATGACTTACCAGGGCATTGTTTCTTCAAGGTTATCTTTTGTTCTAAACACAAAAATTAATTGTAAATTTAAGATCAAAAATAAAGGCCGCGTTTTGAATATCCCATATGGCTCTAAAAACGTTTGCCCAATTAAAAATTCAAATTGTCTAAAGCGTGACGCTATTGACCAGTTACCTCTTCCAACACCGCCACCACCCCCTCTTTCTACAAAACAGGAATCACCTCCTCTTGGACCTCAACAGGAATTAATCACCCCACCACTTGCATCCCCACAACAGGAATTATTCACCCCACCACTTGCATCCCCACAACAGGAGGTATTCACCCCACCACTTGCATCCCCACAAGAGCCACTTTTAACATTATCACCAATCGAAGAACTTAAAGAAAATGAGGATTCAACCCTGTTAGAGTTTTATGACTCTATGCAGGCTGTTACAATGGGTATGATTTCAACAGAAAATGAGGTTAAGAACGAAGTAGTAAACAATCCAGAAGATACAAAATTACAGCCTCCTCTTTAATTTTCATCGCTTCACTTAGTATTTAAGTTAAAAATTTCAATTAATTATTATTTATAATGGAAGCACTAACATTTTCTAATAAAGATTTAAATTTTAAATTGCCTTTTGGTATGATTGTGTCAGGTCCCAGCTCAAGTGGGAAAAGTACTTTCCTACTAAAATTTATTTCGGAAGCTGTAGAGTTAATTGATCCTAAACCAAAAAGTATATTGTATTGTTTTGGAGAAATGAGTAGTATTGTTCCAATACTTCAAAAATCTGGAGTTGATGTTTTTGTCGGCGTCCCTCCTGAAGAATTGTTAAAAACATTTCCCAAACCACTTCTCTTAATCCTTGATGACTTACTATTGTCTATCGACGAAAAGTATTTATCTGAACTCTTTACTAAAAAATCCCACCATCAAAATTTTGCAATTGTTTTTGTAACTCAAAATCTATTTGACCGTAAGATCAAGGTTGCAAGACAAAATGCTCAATACATTGTTCTAATGCGTTCTCCAAATTCTGCTCTCGCTGTAAGAAATATAGGAGTACAGCTTTTTCCTGGAAGACTAGATTATTTCCTTGACGCCTACCGACAAGCCACAAACCAGCCCTATGGGTATCTATTGATTGATATGCACGCTTCGTCGGACTCAAGTTTAAGACTGAGGACAGGGATATTTAAGGATGATGAAGAGAAAATAGTCTTTACTCCAAAGAGTGGAATATAAAATGGTTAGTCATTTAATAAATGAGAATTCAAACTTTCTAAATACTTTATGTCATACAAAATCGCAAAGAAAAATTCGCCGACTATTACGTCTTGCTAGTACTTCACAACTTTTAACACTTGTAGAAATATGTCTCAATATTGTAAAGTCCCGATTTCAATTAACAACACGTCAAAAAAAGCGTTTAATGCCTTATGCTTGTTTTGTCCGAAGTGTAAGTAGAGCTAGAAGTGAAAGAGGAGCGAGACATGCTTTGCAGAAGGGAAATGGTATCGGTGCTTTTGCGGCTCTTCTTACCCCCATACTAATTGAACTGGCGCGCTCTATAAAAAGCGGAAATTAATTAAAATTATTATTAATAAGAAAATTATGGCTAACAAATTTATCCTTGTTCCCCAAGAAATTTATCGAGGTCTTACGTCTTTTGATACAGGAGAGCCAAATCTCGACGACGTTCAACGAACACTTGATAAAACCAGAAAAGTAAAGGAACATCCAAATGCAAAAAATATTCACTATAATCAAGAATTAAGACGTTATTTACATTTACGTAATGAGAGACAGAATCGACCTGTTAAGGTGGAAATGGTCGCTTCACCCAAGGGAGCAGTTATGAGTAGCAACCAAGCTCATCCTTCAACAGAAGATAATGATGATGATTTATGGATGAGTGATGATATTTCATTTTCTAATTATCCTAGAGAACCTCTCACTAATTCTTATAATATTGTGCCTCCTCTCTCTGAATCTTCTTACCCTCCATCTGTACCTTCTCGATCCAGAAGTAGAAATATATTAACGGAAGAAGTGTCCCCGACACCGCTAACCCAACGTCAACTTGTAAAAAGGAAAGAAACGGTGAATGGAGGAGATAAAAAAAGATTAAAAATAAATAAGGCAATTAAAAAGTCAAAAATCCCTGTGAAAAAGAAGCAAAAGAAAAGAGTAACAGCAAACCTATCCTTACCCTCTACCTCAATTGAGTCAATTATTACAAAGGATCCTGACCCTGTTATTGAATCACAGAATGCTCCTTTGAGAAATTCCCCTCCTATAGATCTTCAACCATCTAAAAGAGAGAAGGAAGCGGAAGATTTTGTAGGGTTTAAGAAACGAAAAGGTAGTAATACAACACGAGAACAAGATAGAGTAATAGAAAAAAGGTTAATTGCACAAAAGGAAAGGAAAAAGAAAAGATGGGAGACAATAAAAAAGTTTCGAGAGCAAACAGTACCTTTAGACCAAGCTGCAATGGCTCATTCTCGACAGGTTGAAAAAGATGCCGAAGCGGCAAGGATCAGGCGAAGACGACAAAGAGTTTCAAGAATGGGACGATCCCCATCTCCTCCTATACAACGCGAGCGGTTGAAAAGAAAATATCAAATCCCTGAAGGCACTACACTAGTTCACTACAAAAGGGTTAAGGGACCTTCTTCAAAAAATAAAGCGAAACAATTATCAAAGGCTTGGTCAAAAAAATTAAATATTTTAAGAGGACTGAAAGAAGGGACTAAAAATTGGGCATCGAGAAAACCAGCTCAAAAAGATATAAGTTTACGTAAAGTAAAAGACAGAATAATTAGTAAAAAATGGGCATCGAAAAAACCAACACAGGAAGATATAAATAGATTTAAACCCTCCCTTTGGTAGAAATGGCAGATTATACTAAACTTTTACAACATCTCTATAATGATCCGGATTCCCCTGCTGCCTTTTCTGGAGTTGATAGATTATGGTTTGAGGCCAGAAAAATTCTTAAGAATTTACCTAGAAAAGTTGTGCAAGATTTTCTAGAGGGACATCGAACGTATACTCTTATGCGCCCCAAGAGAATACATTATCCTCGAAGTAAAACCGTGGCTGCTGGGTTTATGACAGATGTTCAAGTTGATTTGGCGGATTTTCAATCATTATCCAGACACAATAACGGAAATAAATATTTACTTTTGGGAATTGATGTCCTTTCAAAAAGAGTTTTTGGAATTCCTGTCAAGTCTAAAAAGATTGATGATATGTTAGAAGCCTTTAAACAATTAATAACCCAAATGCCCATGAAGCCACATAGAATATTTTCCGATAAAGGACTAGAATTTAAAAATAAACAACTAAAAGAATTTTTTGCAAAAGAAGAAATTGAAAAGTTTGAAGCTACCCATTCAATAGTTAAAGCTTCGCTTGCGGAGCGTGCAATTAGAAATGTTAAACAACGATTATATCGATATTTTGCTCATTACAAAACACTTAATTGGATTGAGATTTTACCAAAAATTTTGGAAGGAATAAATAAAGCAAAGAGTCGGGTTCATGGAATGAGACCCATCGATATAAATTTTCAAAATGCTCAAGAAGTGTGGGAGATGATTTATGGTGATGAATTATCTACAAAAATTAAAAAGACAAAACCTAAATTTAAAAAAAGGAGATTTTGTACGTACAACTATAAATAAAGGAACGTTTGAAAAAGGTTACATTCCAAATTGGAGTGATGTAATAGCGGAAGTTGACAAAGTTAAAGACAATTCTAGACCAATTCGTTACAAATTACTAGATGACAAAGGAGATAAGATAAAGGGATCTTATTACAACGAAGAACTCACAAAAGTAAAAAAAGATGCGGGTACAGAGTATAGGATTGAGAAGGTTTTCCAGAAAAGAAAACGGGCAGACGGCGCCTATGAAGTACTTGTAAAATTCATTGGTTATCCCGAGAGGGAATGGATACATGAGAATCAATTAGTATAAAAGGCATTATTGTTTTCTTATTGTATAATTTATTTGTTGTTAAAATGTCAAACAGCTTTTATGTTTGTTTATTAAGTAATACTACTGATTATCCCGATAATCAGCCGATAATCATTAGGCTGATTATCGGGATAATCAGTAGTATTACTTAATAAACAAACATAAAAGCTGTTTGACATTTTAACAACAAATAAATTATACAATAAGAAAACAATAATGCCTTTTATACTAATTGATTCTCATGTATCCATTCCCTCTCGGGATAACCAATGAATTTTACAAGTACTTCATAGGCGCCGTCTGCCCGTTTTCTTTTCTGGAAAACCTTCTCAATCCTATACTCTGTACCCGCATCTTTTTTTACTTTTGTGAGTTCTTCGTTGTAATAGGATCCCTTTATCTTATCTCCTTTGTCATCTAGTAATTTGTAACGAATTGGTCTAGAATTGTCTTTAACTTTGTCAACTTCCGCTATTACATCACTCCAATTTGGAATGTAACCTTTTTCAAACGTTCCTTTATTTATACTTGTACGTACAAAATCTCCTTTTTTAAATTTAGGTTTTGTCTTTTTAATTTTTGTAGATAATTCATCACCATAAATCATCTCCCACACTTCTTGAGCATTTTGAAAATTTATATCGATGGGTCTCATTCCATGAACCCGACTCTTTGCTTTATTTATTCCTTCCAAAATTTTTGGTAAAATCTCAATCCAATTAAGTGTTTTGTAATGAGCAAAATATCGATATAATCGTTGTTTAACATTTCTAATTGCACGCTCCGCAAGCGAAGCTTTAACTATTGAATGGGTAGCTTCAAACTTTTCAATTTCTTCTTTTGCAAAAAATTCTTTTAGTTGTTTATTTTTAAATTCTAGTCCTTTATCGGAAAATATTCTATGTGGCTTCATGGGCATTTGGGTTATTAATTGTTTAAAGGCTTCTAACATATCATCAATCTTTTTAGACTTGACAGGAATTCCAAAAACTCTTTTTGAAAGGACATCAATTCCCAAAAGTAAATATTTATTTCCTTTATTGTGTCTGGATAATGATTGAAAATCCGCCAAATCAACTTGAACATCTGTCATAAACCCAGCAGCCACGGTTTTACTTCGAGGATAATGTATTCTCTTGGGGCGCATAAGAGTATACGTTCGATGTCCCTCTAGAAAATCTTGCACAACTTTTCTAGGTAAATTCTTAAGAATTTTTCTGGCCTCAAACCATAATCTATCAACTCCAGAAAAGGCAGCAGGGGAATCCGGATCATTATAGAGATGTTGTAAAAGTTTAGTATAATCTGCCATTTCTACCAAAGGGAGGGTTTAAATCTACCCTGTGCCAAGAGGATCTCACAATAAACCTGAGGATTTACTGAAATTTTTAATTTCCACTTTACAACACCAAAGTGGAGTGCTAGTAGAATCTAATATTGATAAAAGTTTTGTTGATAGCCCAACTCTAATTTCGCCACCCAGAGTTCAACGCCCAAAACGAAGTTTGGAATTACAATCGCCTCCGAAGATTAGCCCAGATAGACAACCTCTAATTTCGCCACCCAGAACTCAACGTCCAAAACGAAGTTTGGAAACTAATTTACCATCGCCTCCAGGGGTTGAAGGAGAACTTCGTTCTCCTCCTCCTCCAACTTCGCCTACCAATCCTTCTTCACCTGTATCAAAGAAACCTACGCCTCCATCTCAAGAAAATAAAAGACCTACAACTCCAGAACTTCCATCGCCTCCTAGGCTACCACAATCTCCACCTCTGTCTACGCCTCAACCTCCTACTCCACAAAAACCTCCCCCTGTCCAAAAACCTTCAACACCACAAAAACCTGCTCAAAAACCCTCAATTCAACCTCCTCTACCTCAACCTACTGAACAAAAACCTTCCACTCCCAAAAAACCTCAACCTCTTCCTGTTCAAAAACCTTCAACTCCACAACCCCCTCCACCTCCTCCTGCCCAAAAACCCTCAACTCCACAACCACCTCCTCCTACTCAAAAACCTTCTACTCCACAACCTCCACCTACTCCTGCCCAAAAACCTTCAACCCCTCAAAAACCTACACCTACCCAAAAACCTTCAACTCCACAACCACCTCCTCCTACACAAAAACCTTCTACTCCACAACCTCCTGTACCTCCATCTCCTCCTTCCAAAAAACCTACACAACCTCCTCAATCTCCACCTCCTCATATCCAAAAACCTTCTACTCCACAACCTCCTCTTCCTCCTGCCATAAAACCTACTCCACAACCTCCTCTACCTTCACTTCCTCCTGCCCAAAAACCTTCTACTCCACAACCTCCTCTACCTCCACTTCCTTCTGCCATAAAACCTACTCCACAACCGTCTCTACCTCTACCTCCTCCTGCCATAAAACCTACTCCACAACCTCCTCTACCTCGACTTCCTCCTGCCCAAAAACCTTCTACTCCACAACCTCCTCTACCTCCACTTCCTCCTGCCCAAAAACCTTCAACACCTCAAAAACCACCGCCTCCTACACAAAAACCTCCGCAACCTCCTCTAGCTACACAACAAGAACTTAAATCTCCACCTCCTCAGCTTTTCCCTACACAGCCGCCTCAACAAAAATCAACGCCTCAAAAATTAGCGCCAAAACCTGCTACCTCTGCAAAACCGCAAGAAATTATTCAACCGCCAATAATTTCTCCTACAAAAACTCTTCCTAAATTACCCCTACCTTCAGAAACTCTTCCTTCACTTCCTGAAGCTCTTCCATTAAAACAGAACAAATCATTGGTTCAACAAAAAATAAAATGGACAGATGACATGGAGAGAGTTCTTACACATGTAATTGGAAAGCCCCCTACAGACTTTCAAAGAGAGAGCTATTTACCAATGATTGAAGGTCTTCTGAAGAAATACAGTTATCTAAGGAAAGACAAGATCGACACTACTGTACAAAAACAAATTATAGATTCTATTTCTCTGTCTTTTCACAAAGACTTTAAACGTTTTAAATTGGAATTCTCTCATCCAAATATTAAATATTTATCTTTCTCTCCTCAACTTGGCTATGTATTAGGTTTCGAAAATTCAAATATGGTTATGCATAATGAAATCGCAAAATATGGAAGTGACTTGAGAGGAGGATTCTCTAGCTTTGCTGTCTACTCCAGAGGCTTAACAGAGAATATGATTGTAGGAAACTCGCTTAGCTCATTATTGAGGGTTGTGTCTGTCTCCGGAGCAACACCAGGAGAATATCATGAAAAGATATATGACTCTCCTATTTTTATCCGTGTACTTCCTAAAGAAATTAATGAAATAGGAATTGAATTAAGAACAATGGATGGAGGAAGACTCGTCCCTTTTGCATTTGGAACAGTGATGATCGTCTTAATATTTAAGAAAGTTATAAATTTTTAATTTCATTTTCTCGTGTGTATATAAATACCCTCAAAAATTGTAATTTGCATTTAATATTTTGAATAAAATTCTTAAAAAATGGTTCACGTAGTTTTTGATACACGATCAGTTGGTTATGAAGAATTTGTTCCTATGAAAGGAAGTGGTATTACAGATGAATATAATTATTTCAAAGGTTCATCACCTTTTCAAAGAGGCTATGGTAATTTACAAAATGGGGCTGGGATTGGTAATGTAATGAGAGGACTTTGGCGTTTCTTTCTACCAATAATTCGTCAAGCGGGAAGTACTGTAGCGGGTGAAGCGTTAAATACCGGACAGCGAGTTTTAGAGAGAGTAAATCAAGGGGAACCACTTAAAACAGCACTTAGAGAAGAAGGAAAGAAAGGAATAGATACTGTTTTAGAGAAAGGAGGATTACCAAAACAATTTGGGACTGGACGTAAAAAGGGTATAAAAAGGCAAGCTATACCCTCATATCAAACAATTATTGGTAAAAAAGTTAGAAAACGCTTAAGATCAGACGCATTTGGACTTTATTAAAAATGGCTTTTCAAAAAATTGATAATGAAAGCATAAATTCGATAACTAGTGCACTTGACTTCTTTCAAATTCCCCCAACTAATGTTACAGTAACCTCTTCTAAAGTATTTGAAATTCTCCCCAGCAATCCACTTACAGACACTCCCTACCATTTTAAAATTCATTCAAGTCAAAATTATATTGACTTGTCAAAGTGCTATCTTTTTACGGAACTTAGAATAAGAAAGGAGAATGAAAATGGCTATTTGGTAAATCTTGCGCCGACAGACAATATTGCACCTATCCAACTTATAGGGCAAACGTTTATTAACAATATGAAAATTAATATTAATGGGCGCGAAATTTTTAATTCAAATTCTTTGTATGCTTACAAAACATATTTGTCTTACGAACTATCGTATTCTCAAGGAGCAAAAAGTTCCCATCTTAATGCCGCTGGATATTACTTTGGCTCAGATACAAATCTAGAAAGCGGAGCTGGATATGATGCAAGGAAAAGATTATTTTCAAATAGCAATACAGCTCAGTTTATTGCAATCATCAAGTGTACCAATAGTTGAAGGCCATGAATAACTATTGGTACACTTGATGAACTATTGGTACACTTGAACTATTGGTACACCTTCAACTATTGGTACACTTGATGAACAATGGATTGATATCCACTGTACAGACTTTAAGGGTATGGCTAAGGTCATAAGAGTCCCTGTGCCAAGAGGATCTCACAATAAACCTGAGGATTTACTGAAATTTTTAATTTCCACTTTACAACACCAAAGTGGAGTGCTAGTAGAATCTAATATTGATAAAAGTTTTGTTGATAGCCCAACTCTAATTTCGCCACCCAGAGTTCAACGCCCAAAACGAAGTTTGGAATTACAATCGCCTCCGAAGATTAGCCCAGATAGACAACCTCTAATTTCGCCACCCAGAACTCAACGTCCAAAACGAAGTTTGGAAACTAATTTACCATCGCCTCCAGGGGTTGAAGGAGAACTTCGTTCTCCTCCTCCTCCAACTTCGCCTACCAATCCTTCTTCACCTGTATCAAAGAAACCTACGCCTCCATCTCAAGAAAATAAAAGACCTACAACTCCAGAACTTCCATCGCCTCCTAGGCTACCACAATCTCCACCTCTGTCTACGCCTCAACCTCCTACTCCACAAAAACCTCCCCCTGTCCAAAAACCTTCAACACCACAAAAACCTGCTCAAAAACCCTCAATTCAACCTCCTCTACCTCAACCTACTGAACAAAAACCTTCCACTCCCAAAAAACCTCAACCTCTTCCTGTTCAAAAACCTTCAACTCCACAACCCCCTCCACCTCCTCCTGCCCAAAAACCCTCAACTCCACAACCACCTCCTCCTACTCAAAAACCTTCTACTCCACAACCTCCACCTACTCCTGCCCAAAAACCTTCAACCCCTCAAAAACCTACACCTACCCAAAAACCTTCAACTCCACAACCACCTCCTCCTACACAAAAACCTTCTACTCCACAACCTCCTGTACCTCCATCTCCTCCTTCCAAAAAACCTACACAACCTCCTCAATCTCCACCTCCTCATATCCAAAAACCTTCTACTCCACAACCTCCTCTTCCTCCTGCCATAAAACCTACTCCACAACCTCCTCTACCTTCACTTCCTCCTGCCCAAAAACCTTCTACTCCACAACCTCCTCTACCTCCACTTCCTTCTGCCATAAAACCTACTCCACAACCGTCTCTACCTCTACCTCCTCCTGCCATAAAACCTACTCCACAACCTCCTCTACCTCGACTTCCTCCTGCCCAAAAACCTTCTACTCCACAACCTCCTCTACCTCCACTTCCTCCTGCCCAAAAACCTTCAACACCTCAAAAACCACCGCCTCCTACACAAAAACCTCCGCAACCTCCTCTAGCTACACAACAAGAACTTAAATCTCCACCTCCTCAGCTTTTCCCTACACAGCCGCCTCAACAAAAATCAACGCCTCAAAAATTAGCGCCAAAACCTGCTACCTCTGCAAAACCGCAAGAAATTATTCAACCGCCAATAATTTCTCCTACAAAAACTCTTCCTAAATTACCCCTACCTTCAGAAACTCTTCCTTCACTTCCTGAAGCTCTTCCATTAAAACAGAACAAATCATTGGTTCAACAAAAAATAAAATGGACAGATGACATGGAGAGAGTTCTTACACATGTAATTGGAAAGCCCCCTACAGACTTTCAAAGAGAGAGCTATTTACCAATGATTGAAGGTCTTCTGAAGAAATACAGTTATCTAAGGAAAGACAAGATCGACACTACTGTACAAAAACAAATTATAGATTCTATTTCTCTGTCTTTTCACAAAGACTTTAAACGTTTTAAATTGGAATTCTCTCATCCAAATATTAAATATTTATCTTTCTCTCCTCAACTTGGCTATGTATTAGGTTTCGAAAATTCAAATATGGTTATGCATAATGAAATCGCAAAATATGGAAGTGACTTGAGAGGAGGATTCTCTAGCTTTGCTGTCTACTCCAGAGGCTTAACAGAGAATATGATTGTAGGAAACTCGCTTAGCTCATTATTGAGGGTTGTGTCTGTCTCCGGAGCAACACCAGGAGAATATCATGAAAAGATATATGACTCTCCTATTTTTATCCGTGTACTTCCTAAAGAAATTAATGAAATAGGAATTGAATTAAGAACAATGGATGGAGGAAGACTCGTCCCTTTTGCATTTGGAACAGTGATGATCGTCTTAATATTTAAGAAAGTTATAAATTTTTAATTTCATTTTCTCGTGTGTATATAAATACCCTCAAAAATTGTAATTTGCATTTAATATTTTGAATAAAATTCTTAAAAAATGGTTCACGTAGTTTTTGATACACGATCAGTTGGTTATGAAGAATTTGTTCCTATGAAAGGAAGTGGTATTACAGATGAATATAATTATTTCAAAGGTTCATCACCTTTTCAAAGAGGCTATGGTAATTTACAAAATGGGGCTGGGATTGGTAATGTAATGAGAGGACTTTGGCGTTTCTTTCTACCAATAATTCGTCAAGCGGGAAGTACTGTAGCGGGTGAAGCGTTAAATACCGGACAGCGAGTTTTAGAGAGAGTAAATCAAGGGGAACCACTTAAAACAGCACTTAGAGAAGAAGGAAAGAAAGGAATAGATACTGTTTTAGAGAAAGGAGGATTACCAAAACAATTTGGGACTGGACGTAAAAAGGGTATAAAAAGGCAAGCTATACCCTCATATCAAACAATTATTGGTAAAAAAGTTAGAAAACGCTTAAGATCAGACGCATTTGGACTTTATTAAAAATGGCTTTTCAAAAAATTGATAATGAAACATAAATTCGATAACTAGTGCACTTGACTTCTTTCAAATTCCCCCAACTAATGTTACAGTAACCTCTTCTAAAGTATTTGAAATTCTCCCCAGCAATCCACTTACAGACACTCCCTACCATTTTAAAATTCATTCAAGTCAAAATTATATTGACTTGTCAAAGTGCTATCTTTTTACGGAACTTAGAATAAGAAAGGAGAATGAAAATGGCTATTTGGTAAATCTTGCGCCGACAGACAATATTGCACCTATCCAACTTATAGGGCAAACGTTTATTAACAATATGAAAATTAATATTAATGGGCGCGAAATTTTTAATTCAAATTCTTTGTATGCTTACAAAACATATTTGTCTTACGAACTATCGTATTCTCAAGGAGCAAAAAGTTCCCATCTTAATGCCGCTGGATATTACTTTGGCTCAGATACAAATCTAGAAAGCGGAGCTGGATATGATGCAAGGAAAAGATTATTTTCAAATAGCAATACAGCTCAGTTTATTGCAAAACTTGATGCTGATATTTTTAATCAGCCTCTTTATTTAATTAATCAATGCGAAATTGACATTGAAATTTTACCTAACGATGCAAAATTCGTTTTAGTTGCTCCCCCTACTCTTGGTATTGCCCAATCTACGCGTTACTATTTTGAAGTTTTAAATTGTAAACTTTATGTAAAAAAGATGGATCTAATGGATGGATTAGCTTTGGACATTGCAAGAAAACTCGATACCAAACCAGCCCGTTATGCGATAAGGAAGACTATGATGAAACCTCTTTTTATTAGTCAAGGGAGATATGAATTTAATGCTAACCTCTTTATGGATCAAATACCTAGAAGAATAACCCTAGGACTTGTCGCTAATTCTGACTATGTTGGAAATTTAGGACGCAGTCCTTTTAACTTCCAACCCTTTAGTGTTCGCGAAATTACAATAATAGCAAATGGGAGAAGTTATCCTCAAGCTCCATATGATTTTGATTATAATAACGGAAAATATGTTCGTGCGTTTAATGATATGAATGACGCCATTGGGTTAGCAACTTCATCAGAAAGTAATGGAATTACATATCAGCAGTATGGCACTACTCATTGAATATACATCTTTAATT